CTACCCAAACCTAATAAAAGAGCAAGCTAATTGTATAGGTTAAATCTTAAAACCGGGAGCCCCATGCAGATCTACCGGTGCTTATCACTAGTTTCAATGAAAGATAAAACGCTTGTCCATCCTAGGTAACCTCCCCTTGCCAAGAACAGAACATACAACGACCCGTCACAAGCTCACATCCGGAAGATTCCTCGGAAGTCCAACGCTTCAGCAACCAGATAGATAGGGACATAAATTAATGAGGAAAGTCAACTGAATGGAATATCCTGACCATATATACTCTGTAACTTAAAGAAATACTGTAGTAGGTTGTGATGTAGCGGTCGGAGGTATAGCTGAACTTGCGCGAATATCTGGATTTTATTTCGATACATTAGCCCTACTGCAAAACCGTTAGCTGTCAGCCAAGAGTTTTTTAAGGGCCTCGCAGTTGTAGCTTATTCACGCTATTTTTGGACTCTTACCCTGAAACAAATATGCCTATGCACTGGATTTCCTGAAAAACTTTCGATGATTTCGTGGTTAGATTAGTTAACCCTCTGTCTGTTAAGCGTTTTTTGCGATACTCAAAGGTAAACCAATGAGTTATCCAATACGCTACCCATTAATTCCATGTGAATACCACTTTATCAATTTACCTCCCTTCAGGTAGGATACCTCATCGAATTTTCATGAAAACACAGTAAAAACAAAGACAAAATATTGAGCAACGATGATGGTGAAATATAATTATATTTACTAGCAATAACTTTCGTCGTAAAGTTTAAAATTATAGGGCGTATCCAAATATCGACAAACCATTCGCTAAATCTTTTAGATATAATCAATTATGGCTGCAACAGTTCGTGATGTCATTTAAGCGAATACGTCTTGTTTTTAATACATGTACTATGTATGAATACGTAGGTTGAAAATGGAACAACCTCTAATCCTGATTCACTAATATCTTAATCCCTTACGTCTAGGATCTTGTCGAGCTAAATTTTGCACTTAGAGAAATATCGCCACTCAAGAACCTTAAAATTTGAGAAAGGCAACATCTTTCAAATCAAAATCAAAATCAGGTTATAATCGCTGTTAAAATGATATCAACGCAAGACGGTCCCCACAAAATTTATATCAAAATCGGCTTTACTTTATTAAACTCGAGGGCAGCTAACGAGCCCAGTGAAGCCAGCTTCTCAATATTTGTTTACTTGTTTGTTTTTTTGTACAACTAAGTTTTCGCGCGCTCTCAGTGATCTAACTATTAAAGTAGATCGAGAAATGATTTTCATTTTCCGCTGGCGTTTCCCCAAATAGCAGGGACCACGTATGGCTTACCCCGATAACAACAATAATTCCTGTTGAGCGCCCAATTAATGTAAAACCATTCTAACTGCCCACAGCTTAAGTCATGTTAAAATTTAGGTGAATGTGGTTTCGAACTTTGGCCACTCTTCAAATTACTGAACAAAAACACTATGCCTAAATGACTGATGCAGAAAAACCGCAGACTATGATTTTCACAATTCAGTTAGCCAAGTTTTATCAAATTTTCAGTCGCTTTGGACATTAACTTACAGACGTTTGTGTTCAGTTTTGAAAATACTAAAATACCACAACAGAAGGTATATTGATCAAAGATTCTTCAGACTAAGATGGACAAGGCTCAAACAAAGTTAAACATCTTTCATTTTACATTGCGTGCAAATGGAATCTTTCTTCAAATCCAAATAAATAAAGATGCGTCGTATGTTTTCCATGAATAAGACAAATCCATTCCGTTTTGTCGGTGGAAGTCTTAAAAATAATGTTATTAGAGGTGTCATTTTCTTTCAAAAATTGAGTAAATATATTTAAAAAGCTTTTCCCCCACGCTCAGGAAAATACAGATTGTTTTATTCTGAAAATGAGTACACAATTTCATGAAATACTCACGATTATAACGTAAAGTATCTTTTAATTCTTTCCCGGAAAATACTGCATCTTGCATATAATAAAAAAATTTGATTAACCGATGAAAGAGCCAGAGTCGGACAGTAAGCGGCTTGTTTTTGTTTATTAGAACGACGGCGTTCATTCTTTCAAAGCCATCTGGTTTTTGAAATTTCGTTTCCTTCTTAAAAGGTTAAGCAGAATGTTTCACAATTAAACTGTTTTCAACCAACTTACAGGAATTGAATTTAGTTTCATGGTATTATGTATGAAAGACGAAATAAAAGCAAGTCGAAATTTGTTCAAGTAACTTTTCAATTCTTGAAGTTACTGTTGTCCTTTAAGAGTCGTGCTTAAATTGCGAATGCTTTTTTCGATTTTATTATGTCATCATTTTATCTTTACTTAATGCAAATTCTAAAGAAGTCGCTTTCGAAATTTCAAACGTCAGATCCCGAAGTTTTAGTAAAAAGCCCCATCATGCAGATGCTGGTCTGTTGGTCTCACAGAGGTAGTCTATATGCAGCCCATTCTTCTAAACCTTTCATTGCGAAGATGTCAAAACAGCCATTTGTTTCATTAATGTATTGTCCCTACCTTAACACAATGCACATAGGTTTCTCCTTACTGCGAGTTTAGGGGCTTGAATTTCTAAGGCAGGTATAGTTTTATCTGATCCTCTTGAACAGATGCACCAAATGAAAAACTCGAATAACAGCAAAGCAATATTTATAAGTGAGTGTCTATTTGCAAAAATATGGCGTATTATACTCCTTGGGTGTCAAGTTTTTGAGCCAATCAAATTGCTCGATTTTGATAGTTTTTTTTTCTGGGATTACAGACATTGAGGCAATAACGGTATATTGGCTTTCCTTGATATTTTCACAGCGAACTTTAAAAAAAACTTGAATTTTAAGGTATTTGTTTTATACTCAGAATTCAAGATTGCAAGAATAGGTTCGCCTTACATTCCATCTTATGTCTCTTTATGGTCAATCAATAGTTTTTTAATCTAGAAGAACAAGGCATTAATTCGACGAAACCAATGCTGAGATAAATTTAGACTGACCGTCTGTGAGATCGTACCTTTTTATCTCTGAATTTTTTTTTTATAACACCCACTACATAAATATAACTCACTAATAATAAATTTCACTCCAAGAGCCGCAACATTTTAAATTTCTCTTGTAGTGACATATTATCAACAATTTAAAAATTGTCCTTAACTAAACAAGCAAGCCGTCGACAGCCGAGCGAGTCTTAACGACACTCGATCACTAAGCAGTCTCATATAACGCGGTAAGCGAGAAAGTTGAGATAGAAATCTTCCATATTACAAATGATCATTCAGGCTTATGAACTTGGTACGACTCGCGCTGCTTCTCTGCTATCGTGCTCGTTTACGAACGAGACGCCTGGAAGAATTTATGTCCAACGAAATTTTACTCAGAGGCAGAGAACGGTTTCTCGCGAGAAGCACGAACTTTCCATCGTGTGCAGTGTGCTCTGAGCTCAGAGGGCATCGTTAGGTGCAATCTGGGTGCTGTCTCACCGGAAATCTTTTAATCGTTTCTCTCCTCTTGAACCTAGCATGCCTCTCGCATGGTCATGTATCACGCATGCTCTGTTGGGTGGTCAGCTGGCCACCGTCAAAATAAGTTGATTTTCCAGTAAACGACTTAATTGTAGTGATAACATAACAGAATACGTGACTGACCTAATTGCCTTTCTCTAATTATCCATTGCGTAACCAGCATAATGAATACAATGATATTTCACAATAAATTATATCATTGACATAAACACGCTCGTCAGATAGATCTTTATCAAAGATTACTGTAATCAGTTTAAAGCTCAACCATCATCGTGGACAAATCGTTTCCACTGCTAAATAAATTGTTAAAACCAAAGATAACTTGCAAAATAATTGGTCTCTTGTTGGGTTAGATAAGCAAAGACTTTGCAATAATACGGATCCAGACGATATCTATAGGCTGACGTTTCGAGCCTTACCCCTGCGTCATCTGAAGTGCATGACGAAGGGCTACCACTCGTCTCCGTCAGCTTTAGCCGAAAAACTTTGCGGTGGCCAATTTACATTATCATCTCAGTTGATGAAACCAAATTACCCTGTTATACTCTCCCAACTACGCAGCACCACAGTTTCTTTAGAAACTTACCCCCTTTATTCACGGAGACGGAGTCTTGAACTAGCATTATAGCCTGTCTTTAACTGTCTCATGTTTTTTTTCTTCTGCCATTCTTAGATGCGCAAAACAAGACATTTTTATTTGTGTAAGGCAGTCAAAACGGTCGGCTCAATAACAGATTTGAGTTTAAGATTTATGTTTTAGCCAGAGAGAAAATACAGAAATAAATATTAGCTAAATAAGGTTATAAGGGAGTAACAACAGTTGTGTTTTCATGCACAGGATTTACATATAAAGGAAACGGCATTGTGTATTTCTCCCACATAACAGGAACCATGTAAGAGAAATGTTTTGGGATGATATCACAAAATAGGCGTGGAAGGAAGAGAAAACAGTGGCTAGAATATTTAAGATAGCTAAAATACCTGGTTGGAGAAGGTAAAACCTACAAGAAAATAAAAACGTATGATCCAAAACAAAAAAAAAAATTAAATAACACTCAAAAATACACTTGGACAAAATAACTTGGTCACATGTGACTGACTTGAATAGCACTTGTGCCGAAAACAAAACACACACAAGCAGCAGCAGAAATTTGTGCAGAATTGGATGGCGATGGACACGATGCTGTTTCAACAAAGCAAAGGGAACAGACATAGGTATATTATATTTAATCGTCACCGTGCGTCTATTTAAGGTTGACCTTGAAGAACGTATTTTTAAATACGTTCTTCAAGGTCAACCTTAAAAATGTTTATCTTCCCCGGATTCTTGCACATCCATTCCAATTTTTAATTTCCATTTATTTTTAAAAAGTATCTCGATTTTACCGATGACTTATTCCGAAAATATTTAAACAATTGCCTATTTCTTCACGCCCTGCTTATGTTGCTTTCAAAAAAACAACATTAGCATAAATTTGTATGTTGTAAACACAGGGTCACGCAAAACTCCACTCGAGTTTAGTTTGGGGTCAGTTGCGCAAACCTTGTCGGTAGGACTAGAGTTCTCCCTCGACATTTTCATCGCATTTCAGTTTTCCTTTGGTAAGTAGTTGAAAAAAAAATTCATTGATTGCCCGTCCTCAAATTGGGTGAAACACAGTTGAAATTATTTAGTAGGTCGGACATTTTGGAGATTTTGATGGTATTGTGAGACCTGTTTGAACCACGTCTTCGCGAATATCAATCGCTGAGATTTCGCTGTTGCCAAATGCCCGACGACCGTGACTTTCTTTAATTTAATCGATAGATCGATAAATGCTGGGCATTTAGAAACTGCCTCAGGTTCGGCTATTTCGTTAACTTTACAACCTACATTATTTTGCGAATCGCTTGAAATTTCCAAAACGAGAATCTGATACTTTCAAGAAGTACGAAACAACGTTGCAATAGGAAATTTGTGAAAATCTCCGATTGCCGGGAACTTTATTCGTCCGTTATAGGACCGTGTGCGGTTGTAGGATATTTAGCCACAGCAATACTAGCTGTTATCGTCGAAAAGTCGTTCAACCGAAAATGCTAAATATTTGCATTTATTCCGATAAGGACTTATTTTTCTAGTTTTCCTTTGATTTGTAATGGAAGTTTTAATATCTAATGGAACGCAAACCGACAAGGCCGCACATGATTATGTTCTGCACGGTTTTGCCGACGTATATGTCCTTTTCGATGACATTCGAACGACGTATCGCTGGTTCGTGTCTCCGATTTTCACGCCTGAACACACATGCTTGACAACACTGGTGTAAGAAAGGGGTTTGGCACAAATATTTAATTTCTCTAATTACCAAAGAGTTTAGAAACCGAATAGATGTGACGCACCAAAAGCAGGAATCTTGCTTAAAAGCACGTACAGGTGAATTTTATCTTTGCTATGAATCCTCTGAATACTCGAGCAACGAACGTAAGACACTTCAGTAATATGTAATAATTTCTTTGGTCACTCTTTAAAATTTTCAAAGTCAGCAGCGACCAGAATCGCTCTGACGAAGGGCTAGTATAAAGCTCGTAACGACAGCTTTTAAACTCTTTAATTACGGTGGCCAATTTACGTTATCAACTCGGTTGATAATACTAAATCACCGTTTTATGACTTTTAAACTCTCCCACCGACGCAGCACCACAGTTTGTTTAGAAATTTGCCCCCTTTATTCACTTAGCAACCAGAATGGTTCGTCGCGATCTACCGGGAGCATTTTTGCTTCCTCTGGTGTGCATCATAGCCATCTTTCACATTGATCAGGTGAAGACAGAAGTTCGTTTGCCCTGTGGCATGGTTAAAGACTGGTTTCCCAGTGGTACAAAGCCTCAGAATTCACAGCCCCCTTATTTGCTGAATATAACTGATCCGGATGGGCGGTCGGTTTACGATGACCTCTACATGGGTGAACCTCATTATGGACCAGGGCAGACGACATACACAAGTGAGTAAACTTATTTTTTATTTATTTGCATGTTTCTAGGATCAGCTGAATATCGTTTGAATAACTTCCTCTTAAACATAATAAAATTGCCAATTTGAAACCTTATCAGAAGCCTAATATAACTAAATTTTTCAATGAGCAAATCCAACACTAATGTTTTTTAATGGCATTTGTTGATATTATCACTTTGTCTTGACCCATCAAGGGTATGGTTAGATGTACACTAATCCCCAACTCCCTCACTTCCACTCTTGCCTTTGGAGGGAAATTACACAGCCCTCCTAGATGGTGAAAGGGGGGGCGTATCTTTTTTTTTAATTCAACAACTCACAAACCATGCAATTCAGGAGGCAAAAAGGCACAAATTCGAAGAATTTACACTTTATGAAAACATCACTTTTATTAAAACACAGCGTGGATGTAGACATGACATTAGGGAAGGAAGCCTCGGTGTAACATAGTGTGACCCCCTGCTTCCTCACCCCCACGAAAGAATTCTAGCGACGTCCTAGTGATCGTAAATGATTGAAAAATATTTGCTGATATAAAGTTTTGTTTCTTGTTTCTCTCTAGTAACGCTGAATGGAACTCGCTCTGGTAATATGACACAGAATTTCACGGGCTTCATGCTTTATGCCTACAATGAGTTCGATGACGAGGACAGTGGGGACTTTTTGTCCCCGCTACCTGCTGGAGTGTCCAAGAGGGAGTGTCACTTCAATGACACGGGACAATTTGTGAGTAAGGCTCACTCAAACAGCGAGGACCGTTGGCAAAGTCTTGAGAAATTCTAACTAGAGTATGAGAGCATGTATTTTGTAGCTATAAGCAAAGTTCATGATTTGATTTGGAAACAGAGAGCGAGATTTTGGCTCCCCTTTTCAGTGTCTTGGATCATTTGTATTTTTCTTTTTTTCATTCGTGACCTAGCCCTGTTCGATCGATTGCATGCTAATATGTTTGAGGGCACAGAGTGATGATGCCCTCCCGTCATTTTGCAGTGGCCTCTTTCTAAATTTTCTGGAATAGGCTTCTGGATCTGGAAATTTATTGTAATAACCAGATTTGATCGGGAAACTTACCTGATCTCCCATGCTTTTACAAAACTACGTGGAATATTTCATCAAATGTCGAAATTAGAACAGTTATCACGTTAAAACATTCCCTTCCTTTGAAAAATCGTCAAGAACCCTAAAATAGGTTAAATTACAAATTTTCGAAGTTTACTTTTTTTTTCCTCCTAACTCACGACCCCGCTTCATTTATTAGCTTTTTGCTTTTTACAATTTTTAGATCGAGGTGCTTGAAAACTCAACAAACAGCATGTACTGGCATAGCATTCAGATCAAATGGAGGTCGCCTAAGAAAAGTATATCTGGAAAAATAACCATAAGGTATACTAAAGATATTTGCCTTTTCCCCGAGATGCAATTATTTGAACCTAACCATATCATCAAACTTTGGGGCTCCTGATCAGAATAAAAAACCTCGCTGCAATTCAACTTTTTCGTGGCCGGAGTATTTCAGGAAAACACAACAGTACCCGTGGCTGACTTCGTGTGCCGGACAACGGTTGTGCCCTTGATTATGTTGTTGTGTTACTCACGGTAGAGGTGTAGCTACCCATAACCAGACATACCACATCAAAAAAACACTTGGTTTGCCTTCACAGCAAACTCTTATGATTTGTAAAGAGAAGGAGAGGAAGGTTGTGCGTACCCTTAAAAAAAAAAGACCTTTGCACGCCCCAATCTTGCACGCAACATTTTCATCACTTTGTCTCCCTCGCATAAGAGATATCAGTGGGTGAAGGAAATATTACGTTAAAAATTCTATGTAGTTCTAAGGTACAGTTGCGTAGTTATATTCCTAATAAAATTATTTCAGTATTTATTGTTATGTTCTTTTCATCGTCACCAGCGCCAGCGTGGTTAAGGAGGATGGCATTTTTTGGGATGGAATCAGTGTGACCCTTAACCGTAAGTGTCACGCCTAACACAAGCTAAAGGCCTTTGCTGGTTCCTTTCAGATTCTCACTGTCCTAGCATTCGTGTAATTTTATTTCCTTCTTATATTTTCAGATGCTTGCCCAATGCCAGGCTGTTATCTTCCTGACGGTTGCCCCAATGGTCTCGCTAGAAACAAATATGGATGTACTATTTGCGAATGTGCAGGTTAGTATGGACTGCAAGAATCACCCAGGCCGCTGAACCAGTACAATTCAAGTCTATAATTTAATGATCTCTTGCGCATTTCGAACGCATGTACAAAAATTAGGCTGAGACTTAAAAATGCAACGCATGATTTGCAATTAACAATCGAAATAACGCAAGCGTTTGATAATATTATACCAGTAGTCTGTCGTGGAGGGGAACTTTGTTCGAGGGAGAAACAGGGGAATGCTAACAATCAACCTCTTTCGACGACACATTCTTAGCCTACGTGTAGCCGTACCCCCCCCTCTACACGTAGGCTAACACATTCTTGCTGTCTTTCATTCGTAGGAGCTTCAAGTGTCACTGTTGGATTCCTCAGCCTTGCGGTTATCATGTTCAGCGCCCTCAAAAATTGGATTTAAAAAACACGTTTTGAGCCGTTTTTCTTTTTGTAATGTATTGTTTGTTCGCTTTTGGCTTTTTTTACTTGTACTAGTTCAAGTATAAATTTGTCGCATATATAGTGTGAGTGCAGTAAACCGTGGAATCGATTCACGCAAAAAAATACCAGGAAATTTGTCTGGACCAATCACAGTGTAATGAAACAAAGCCACTGAAATCCTGGATGACGTCGATATTTATTTGGAAATTCAGTAACTCAATAAGAGTGTTTATATTGGTATACGATCTATTCTATGTGCTAACTGGTAGTTACATTTGTTTCCCTTAAAGGAACTATCCTTTATACGATATACAAAAGAAAACAGCCTGAGCGGCAGAATAAGTTCGATCTAGTTGATTTCCATCGTTCCTTCCTTATTAACTCCGAGCCTTAAATTCAATATCTTGCATCTTCTGTCATTTTGTTTCATTTAGTTTCTCCATTTTCGGGTGGTAAAGCTTTTTATTTAATTTCAGTTTCGTCATTTTCTAGTTCAGATATTTAGTGTCTAATAGTCAAACTCTAATTCATTACCTCCGGTAACTGAAGGGCTAAAAAATCTCTACTTATCAACACAAACTATATAAAAATCTACGGTTAATTCAAAGAAGCGCACAACACAGCATTTATTCCCAAGCCCGACATTTTCCTCAAAGTCACTTCAGAGTAACACAACTTTTTGTCTAATGGTCTGAAAACATCAACAGTGCCAGGAAAGCCAACATCAGAGAGAAAATTGAGGATTTCACGGTCTCTTCCGCGCCTACAGAAAAAAGGAAATTCAGGTCCCTATTAATGCTCATAAAACAAACATGGGTCACCGACCATTCCGTACACCGTCTGTTAAAAATTAGAAATCATCAGTATTTCCTCATCAAAGAGGGAGATCATCAGCATACTTGGACCCCATCCCACCACTAGCATTTGACCAAGCTCCTTTAATTAGAGGGAGATAGCACCTAAGTCAGCATTAAACCCTCCCTTAGGCAATTAAGGAAGTAGTACAAGTGTTAGGCCAAAGTAACTCTTGCCGTGCATGACTGAATGCATATAAAAACAGTATTTTCCAGAATTAGTTCTTTTTTCTATCTCACCTCAAAGTACCAGTAAATGTTACTTTAAACTCACCATTACATTCACCATTGTAAGATACAGTGATAGTGTCATTTTTTCCAAAGGCCGATATTTCCATTTTACACTCATTCAACATTAAACAAGGGAATTTCCAAAATGGAGGAAATTTTACCCCAGACAATGTCTATAACAGATACTATCTCAGATAACTGTACTTAATTGCATTTTTTGGAAATTGTAATGGTTATGATTAATTGGTAAAGGACTTTGAGTCTTCAAATTTAGTCCTTAATCATAACTGTGATTGACAAAAGGGACTCCTGCTTCATGGTTGTCCAATTTTGTAATCACTAGTATGAGTATACAAACTAAATTGGACTCAATCCACTCCATCCTATTACTATTACTTATTAAAAATTTCTGAGAAACTTTCTCCTGTATTAATATCTTTCGGTGTAATTCAACTAAAACCTGAGCTTCCAATAATTGGAATCTTCAAATGGTTAATTTCTCTAATATACTTATTTTGCCTCAACTTTCTATCACTAATCAATATGATCAAAGTCTTTGATACTGACCACATACACCAATCTGCTGCACCATAATTGTGGATTCTTTTTCACAAGAATGACGCTGCATTTTACACTTGTTGCTGTATGTTTTACCATCCGTTCCACATACTGGAGCATATGTCTCAGCACAGGCCACGTTACAAGAACCTGCAATAAGGCATCAAGCATTCTTATCAAGGCTACATGCAACTACAAAGTGCTTCTATTGGTCTCTCAGAGGCATCCCAATTTGGGATTCAGTTTGATTCAAAGTTCAATCTTTGCCCTGCACATTAATCAACTCCACTGTTAAGTATAATTTTATGATCTGCCTGAACAATATCTGTGAACTAACCAGAAAATCATACAACAAAAACATGATCAAAAGCTATTTATCCCATACAAAAAATTAGAATATCATTCCAAACCCATTCACTTATTTTGTCTTAACACATCATGCCATATGTATTCAGCATGTACATTGTTCATATTTATTTTTTTCTCAGTTCGTGAGCAGGCGGTATTCTACAAATCCTGCAATCTGATTGGTTCCGAGAGTGGGCAGTATTCTCCCCATCCGGCCCGCTCACAGGTATTCAGGTTCTTTTCACAACCATTTGTTAGGTTTTAGAAAAAAAATTAAAATGTTATTCGCCATCCAAGGTCGGTCCGTAGTGGGAAAAACTGTGCTCTCTGTCTTGTGTACCACCCTAGGCCGACCCCGGGCACGCTTTTTCCCAATATGGACCTCCCATCTGGTGAATAACATATATTTACTGAGTACTATTTGAAAAAATAAAGAATTGCTTCAGCAGTCAAATAGTCTCAACCCTTCAACTCCCAAGATCTGATTATTAATTCTCTCCTCTAGCTGCTACACATTTCCCTCTAAATTAGTTTGGAGAATTTGATGTTTGCTCAAGATCACAACCTCTGCCTAATAAGTTGAAGTATTCTCATTACCTGTCTGCTTGATAGTGTATGGATATTATGGGAAGAAGTAAATCACTTCTGGGAGTTAAAGGGTTAAAAACATTTTTCATTCCTAAATTTTCTCTTTACATGTCACACAATCCACTGATATGTCACAACTTACATTGGCAAGTATTACATCCATAACTGTCAGGTTCATAGCCACCAATTGGGCATACAACACATTTTACTGATGGGCACTGGTCTGCATAGAAATTAAATTACATGAAGTGATTAAATAAGGCATAACTTATAGGAAAAAAAATTAAATCACACATTTATAGAATAATTGTAGATTGAAGCAAACAAAATTTTGATTATCAAAACTTTATAACTTTAATTGAAAAAATTATAAGTTATAAATTAAACATCAAGTAAATGTTTATAACAACATAGCTTACATTTCAGGTGAGCAGTAAATCCTTCATAGTAAACAACAGGATTTGTGTTTTCCAAGACACTTGCTCTGAAATAGAATTCAAAAAGTAATTGATAAATATATCCTCTTTTGCTTGCCCAAATTTTTTCATCTATTAATGTTTGATATGTTGGAATCCACGCTGAGAGGTACTGCTTCAGACCTGTCTGGGTCATTGTGTTGTGTTAACTCTTTGACTCCCATGTGTGACCAAGAGAGAATTTCTCCTTACAACATCAACACAATATCAACCAGATAAGTGATGAGAAAAAAGGAAAATATCAATTTGGAGATAATTAGTTAATCCAATACTAAATTCTCTGAACTAACATTATAAGAATTGTATGGTTGATAGTAAGGAGAATTACAAAGTTGATGTGGGAATTAAAAGGTTAATTATTGGATGAAACAGCTTGATGCTCACAGTATGAGATAGCATAAAAATAAACTGGCTAAAGAAAGACTCCAGTTTTTTCATAAAGAAAGATTCTCTTAGCTTGGAGCAAGCTTCACCTCATTTTCCAACCTGCCTCAAGATTACTGAAGTAAGTTCTAAATAAAACATCTTTAGAGCAAGTATTCTCAAATACTGAGTCTGCCTAAAACCTATGATTTTGAGACATATTTTCCTTAATCAATAGCATAAAAATAAACTGGCTAAAGAAAGAAAACAGATTCTAAAAGTTATTCTTAATGATAACATCAGTATTAATTTATCAGTATGGGATAGCATAAAAATAAACTGGCTAAAGAAAGAAAAAAGATTCTAAAAGTTATTCAGCTTCCATTTATTCCTTTTTTTTCACAATAGCCAAGCAAACTTAAAATATCAGCCAGGAATATACTTGTCAGTTGAAGATGTAAGTAGCTTTAAAATCAAGATAGCCTATATTTTTCAACACACAGCAGTTACCAGTATGTACATGCCCTTTGTGTTTCATTACAGGATTTTAATTTGTATCAACACAAATTTTATAGTACCTGAATTTAATGTTTCCAGCCTTATAACTCTGGGGGGCCTTCCATAACATCTTCACACTGGTCCAGTTTCCAGATGAAGTGGAATTTTGGATAATCTTTTGGCATGAGATGGCAAATACAAACATTAATATTATTCAAAGTATGTTTCAAGTCAATAGCAAAATTCATAATTGCACTGTTTTGCATATCATGAACGTTGTCCATTTGCCAGCACTTTAATCATTAGTACTACATAACAATCATATCAAAGACTCTGCTGGTGATTGATTTTTAATTGGCAAATATACTCATTTCCTATAAAGGAGAAGTGCAAAGCTCCTGATAACAAACCTCATTATTTTAGTCCTTGTGTATTTAAAGTTTAATACATGATTGATTTTCAAAGTGCTGGGGTGACTGGATAACTTCAGATACTGCACGGGTCTCATTGTTCACAATGGGTTTTCACATTTGAACAAAAAACCTTCAATGTATACCTATTTTGGTGAATTTTTGAGCCAGTAACATTTACTTGAAGAGCCAGTAAAATTAACTGGTTGCTACATTGTTCTTTACAAAAGTCTTAAAATGTCGTCTTCTAATGATGAAAAAAGTTCATTTAACGATGACTGTATACATTATAAATAACCAGCATAAATTACAGCCATACAATATCAATTTGTATCATGTATTACTAAGGCACAATAATCACTTTGTATTATAACATAGCTAGTAAATTTGTCTAATCAAATTCAATTGCATGCATGTGCTTCATATTCCTATTGTGCACACTCATGACATCAGCAAACAAATCCCTTGAGAAATTTTAGAATTCAGCAGCAATTTAAGCTAAACAAGATTGTTTACAGCATAGTAAAATGTGTTCCTGGAACAAAATTATCAACACACTAAAGCATGGCAGAGGGAATATTAACCCTTTTACAACATTTAAACCAATGGGTTGAAAATGACTCAAGAAGCTAGAGTTGCTCTCTGCTACACCTCGAGCAACTCTTACGCATCTTTCATGCTCTCCAAACTTCCCATGCGCTTCCTATCTTGATGAACGCCTGCTGACATATGAACCAATTGTTAACTGGTTGTATTTACTATCAAAATGAATGGCTTCTTTGCATTCAAAAGGGCTAATGACTCATACATACATAAAGATCTCCACAGCTAGCTTCTTCAACCCCAGTGGGCAAATCCTCTTGAACAAAATGTCCATTGCTGTAATTTTTCACAGAGTTCTCAGCATAAACAATAAATCCAACAAAACTCCTGGAGCCATTAAGATAAACTGTAAATCAAATATTTAAATCTGTTTAGCAAATAAACCTCTTCAGGCAGCTGGTACATTGGCTCAGGTATTCACTATTGTCTGAAAAAAGAAATTAATTTAAAAGCTTTGAGGGCAAATGTGAAATTTATGAACTAGATGAAAAAGTGAAACTCTAAATTGGGCTAGCTTTTTTCCACTGGCTTTGTTTCCTTTTGAACAAAAATAACCAGAGGACAAATATTGATGTAAACAGGGGTCATTGCCAGATAACTGCCGGTGATTTTGCTCCATGTGACGTTAAGTATCCAATAGACTCGCACAAAAATTGGTGGGTTGATTTTTAAGAGTCATGTCCCTGCCTGGTTCTAATAATTGGTTATACACATCATCATTAATAGATCTTAAGGTTACATTAAAATACTAGATGAGAGCAACTGAATGATCAGTCTGTGCTATTACAATTCAAAGTTGTCCCTTATTTTATAGTTTCAGACATTCTGAGCAGTGCATGGATGCAATATATTTCATTAGTGAAACATTTAACCTTTGTGAAGCATCTTTTTAAATGCTATAATGTCGTATTTTACTCTCTTAATTAACTATCTGCCTATAATGTGGTTTTAGGCTGCTACTAATACCAATATTCATTAAAAAGTACAATTAAGTATGGAAATTGGTTACAATCATCAATGTAAACTCCATTTACCATAAACTTATTTTAAAAATTACCATGAGAGTTACATCTCATTCTTTATTCACTAAACTTGGCTATTACCTGTAACATAAAATTTAAGCTGTGTTCAAACACTTTTTTTTCAAAAAGGTTATCAAGACAGACAATTATAATGAAAGATATGACCTATCTAGTTCATTTTCAGTTGAGATATAAAATTTGCTGTTCTGTTTTGTAGATATGTTCCCTCTATAATGCACAAGATTGCATATTTATGTACCTACATGTAGATAAATTCATAGATTGTTAAAATTGCTAAATACTCAACTGCTGAAGACAAAAAGGGATGCATTTACCTCTAGACATTTTGAACACATTTTCAGACTACAACCTATTAATTACATTACAATCATCATTACTTACTTGTGTGAGAGCTTTCTGGAGAGTAACCATATTTAGTATGCCCATGGACACTCAGCTGATAAGGCAAATTTTCTGAAAAATTTGATGGAGGAGTCCCAGGAAACCATGACCTCATGCTGGCACAAGGAGGCACATTTGCACAGTCCACCCAAGCATATGAGAACAGGTGAGGTGAGGTGACCAGCAATATTGAGAGATACACATGTAGCTTCATAGCTGAAAAAGTACGTTGAATTAAACATCAAGTCTACTTGTATTTCAATCGACCTATAGTCGGTCGATAGTCGACCGATATATCGGCCGATATGTCGACCGAGGCCACCTATAGTACACATGATCCGTTTTCTCTATCCAAGAACTGAATGCATAATGTAGTATAGGGCTGTGCGGAAATTTTACCAATCTCGAGACTCACATAATCCACAATCAAAATTTTGAAAAGAACAGATCCGAAATAGTGCAATGGAAACGTTGATGTTAAAGTAATCCTACAGAAATTCAATATCTTCGTTAATTGCTGCTTGATTAAGATCATATTGATGTAATATTAACAACGATAAGCTCTTTAAGGGTAAATCAATGAAGAAGATTCATTCCAAGTGCGATAAAAATCGATGGACAGACATTGAAGATTCCTCGTCCAAAATGCAAGACGAATATGATCGCTTACAATGCAACCGTATGCATAGTTTACTTATCCTACCGCATGAGCTTTTTTATGCCCGGTAGATTTAAAACTAAAGGGTCACCTTTACTCCTTTGAAATCGTACAGCACTTAAGGCAGGACAGATTTATCTCATGTGCTTTGGTAGCAGATATTTCTACTTTCGTGAGCAAATCTTTTTGCTTACATGTGCAAAGATATCAGTTACACAAACCACTTCCTGAATCGTTCACAGGGTCGCGCGTTCAATAGGGACCTCGTGAATGCAGAACGCAACGGCAAGGAAAACGTCGATTGAAAATGAATTCACGTTTTTCATTAGTTGCATGTGTTAACCGTCTCCAGGCCGCCAGATCTTAACGTCAGTATCAACCATGCAAGCGGCGTTGAGTCCCAGAGAGAGTACGTCATAAATAATTCGCTGTTGTGGTTCCTGCTCCCAGGTCACGTAAATTTAGGTGTTTTCGATGTTGATATTTTGCAGAGGACAGCTAAAAAATTGTTTCACCACATTCTCCTTGCCGTCGCCGTTGGAGTTTACCCTAAGGTCCTCACTGTTCGGTGAAACAACGCGCGAAAAACTGACCATAGCTATCGCACCACATTTTTAAAAAAAATCTTTAAAAATAAACTGGTTAGCAGCACTCTGCGAACGGTAGTTGTAAAATTTCTTTATTCTCCGACGCGTTTCGTTTAAATGTCGTAGACTTCTTCGGGGAGTTTTACAGTTTAACACTAAATTACTGTATTTATAAGCCATAGTTAGTGGCTATACGGGAGCCAATGACCATATAGGCTTGGCCGGACGTACGAATAGGAACTGGTGAAGTTGCGGAAAATTTGGGGCAAGGTGGGAGAATTAATTTGGGGTCCACGGTTTTGGTTTTCTTTTTTCGTCACGCAGCAAGTTACAAAACGTAAATATAATTCTTCTTGGTGTCTTTCCAGATGCCACCGATGCCTTTTCCGATACCTCCATTGTTTATTACAGCAGTAAAAGATATATGTGACATCAACACTTTTGAAAAATTGCTCAACATTTTATTTAGCGAAGTATACTGTTGACATTTCGGCTTTAGAAGACTATTGTTTTCCGCAACTATAACTGATATGTCTCTATATCAAGTATTAAATTTGTTTACCCGCTGACCACTCGTATTTCGGTCTTTTCTTCATCCCCTACTCGTCGCCCGTGATGTAGTAACTCCCCACTACTTAGAGTACAGATCGACCCACATCCGCTGACCACTGAGCTGTCCCCTATTTCTTACCCCGAAGGCGTGCCGAAAGCATGCCGAATCGTAAGTTCATCAGTACCGGAGAGATCCAGCGAACATGTGTTAAGCTGCTCATTTAACAAATCCAGGTTTTCCTTTAGAGGAAAGACACGGAAAACGGAAGTGACAAAAACTGTTGAAACCTTGGTAAACGGAGGAAAGTTGACAGAGCTGTGACAGCTGTTACCGGCAATCAGCTTCACACACATTATCATAATTAAACTTTATTTCCTCTCAGGTATGCAGAGTAGTATGTTGGTGCTACTATCTTCAAACTAATTACATTTGATAAGTAATGGAAACGCTAATGAGGTAACGAACTGCCGAAATTATTGATACTTGCTGCTCTACCTGATAAACTAAAGCAAAATTATGCGCCAAGCAATTCAAAGCCTCCCCCTCTCCCGTGCAATACAGGGACATCTTACCATTGTCTGTACCAGGGGAAAGTAGGTACTTTGAACCCTGCCTGACGGGGATGGGCAATTGGATCTGAAGTGTCAAGTTTTTCCAGCAGAATATAAGTGTTATATATTTAAATATGGAGGTTTTTATGACAAATAATTCACTTTTGAAAGTGAATGGCTCAGAAGAAAAGGTCTATAAGGTCGAGGTTTTAAAGCTTGGTAAACGTGTAAAAAGTCATTTTTGGTTGGGTGGGGCATTTGAGCACAATTTTTGCCCGGAAGGGTGGAAATTTAAACAAATCAATCTTAACAAGTTCAAATGCCAGCAAGGTTAAAGCTTCGGATTGATCGGCTCTTTGTATAATACAAAATTTATTTCTATTGAAATTAAAATTATATGTCGGCCAGCAAAAAGAAATCCAGAAACACAGAAAATAAAAAGTCCTTTAGTGAAAAAAAACTTGAAAAAAGGTCCCTATCAATACCAAAACAAGAATAATCCAGCTACTATTCCACTAATTTTTACAGAGACAGAGCTAGAGGCAGGGGGAGAGGGGGGGAGAGGCACTGGTGAGCATAAGTTTTAGCACTATTTTCCCCATGCCTAATTTTGCACATGATTAAACACGTCAGATCTCTAAATCAACGATAGAATACATAGAACAAATAAATCAGCCAGTTGTCAAGTCAGCTGTCTCTAGGCCTGTCTGGGAGTGTTGCTTTTTTTTCTTTCTTAGAGTTTAGGCATGCAACCAAGTGGTGCAGGTATCCTGTTTCAGGTGTTCAGACGGTTCAGTTCGAAATGGGGCACACGCAGCAGGCAGAGTTTAGGTTTGTTTACCTCCAAATAATGGAACGCAAGGGTTAAAGTTAAAGAATAGCCAGATAGCCCAAAAGGATAGGCTAATTTAAAGTCCATGGAAGGTTTCTCCAGTACTGACAGGTTCAGATGAGATGGATGTGCATAGGTTTGTGAAAACCACTGTGAATAGGTTTGACATTTGGTAACCTGGATAAGTTTGGGAACAGAGATTTGATACCCCCTTTGCGCACCTCTATCTCTTCCAGTAACCAGTTGATGATCAGGCACTCTTTTGTTCTTTATCGGAGAAGCTTTGTTCGGAAGAGAGATAGGGGAATGCTAACAATACAGCCGATCAATCTCCTTCGACGACACATTCTTAACTAAAGTCTTTCATTCGCAAGAGCTTCAAGTGTTTTACTTTTACTAGATTAAGTCTCCTATAAGTATAGATTGGTCATTTATCATTGTTGCTTTGCTTTAGTAGTCTGTGTACCCTAAGAAGAACAGGAATTCATTTCTTGATGAAAAACAGAAAATTTTGACCTAATCATTTCAGGTTAGGAATGTCACACTTGCGATTTTTACCCAGTTCGTACTTCATGGGCAGGTTCATAAACACTCGATCTCAAAACTGCATTCCACCCATACAATACAAAAGTTTACAACTTAAATCACCTCAAGAGGTTACTTGGCTATCATCTGTACCTTTTATTTGCAATATTACATCAGAAGCCAGTAAAAGGATTCTGACTTTGCTGTGGTGCGACCAACTCTGACCACCCAGGCAAAAAGCTGGATAAATAAATAGATAAATAGATAAATGGATAAATAAATGGTCTTAAGCAGAAAAAAAGGCTTAACTATTTCATCCGACATTAATGTCTACATTTTGAGCGGAGTGTTATTTAGCTCAACCCATATTAATCTCAAAAGCAGTTGAAATTAAAATACATAAATAGCCAAATAAATTTCCTAAGTCTCCGTGTATCTGATTGGTTGCCTGTGATGCAATTTTTCTAGGCAATCACAGTGTAATGAAGCGAAGCCACCGGAATCCTGGATTAATTAAATTAATTTACTTGATAAGAGTGGTTATATCGGTGTGCGATCTATTCTATGTGCTAACCGGTGGTTACATTTATTTCCCCTTAAAGAAACTACCCTTTATATGATATACAAAAGAAAACAGCCTGAGCCGCAGGATAAACTCAATTTAGTTGTTTTCCATAATTCCTTCATATGTTGCCCACTTATTAACTCCAAACCTTAAATTCGATATTTAATTTAGTTTTATTCAGTATCTCCATTTTGGGTGGCAAAGTTTTGTGTTTAATTTCAGTTTTATCATTTTCTGGTTCAGATATTTAGTGTCTTAAAGTTTTACTCTAATACATAACCTATGCTAAAAAAGCTATGCTTACCGAAACAAACTGAAAAAAAGGCGTCGATTCATTCTCTGAACCACCAAAAGTAAAACATGGCTTTCACAGAAAATCATACACTGTACACAGTGACCGCGCAGTTTTTGAGTGGGGGGGGGAGCTATTTTTGGCTCCGTTATTTTTGTTAAATTATTTTTTGTTTAATTTATTTTTATTTTTGCAAGAAGGTGGGGAGGCTAGAGCATCCCAGCCCCTTCCTCTGCGCAGTCCCTGGTACAGCTATAAGCACTTATACCGAAAGCATATCCTTCAGCTCATACATAATTATTGTGAAAGAAGGAACCACAACTGACAAAGGATCTTCACTTAATTTCACCAAAAAAAAATCTAAACGTTTTGAGTACAAAGCATTTTAAACTACAAGTTTCTAAAATTCAGTGTCTTTCAAGAAAAAAAACAACAACAACACAGAGATAAAGACAAAAGCCGTGGCGGTAAACTCATTTTAAATCTGACTTTCTAAACTTTTGCAGATTTGATAGAGGTAGCTGATTCAGCTTACTTTCCTAATCAAAGTTTTGCGATTTGTTCCATTATAAATTAAATAAAAGGTGTAAGATCATTGAAGTTTTTGGTATGATACACACGAAAGAAACTTGCACTGCATTTCTTCCTAAGTCTGACACTCTTCCAAGGTTCACTTCAGGATCACAAACGTTTTTGTCTGGAGGTCTTAAAATATCAGGAATGCCGAAAAAGCAAACAACAGAGACAGGACTGAGAATCTCAATGTCTTTTCTCCGCCTAAAGAAAGAAACAAACAAAGCTCGCCATTAATACTAGAACAGAAACAGGCCAGCGACCTTTTTGTGGTCTAAGGGAGCGAGAAATTTCTTGTACGAGATCTACATCACGCCCATGGTCAAAGTTTCTACCAAATTATGACAGTTCTCAAAATCGCTCGCCAAGTAACTTCGCTCAATGAGAGTCAGTGCAAATTTAAAGTTTTAATTTTACCACTAAATGAGGTTATCCCTGCCGAGCTGTACACATCACCTGTGCTGGTATTGGGAGGGATAACGAGAAAAAGGATTCAATAAATTTAGTTTGTTCCAGGCGTTCAATTAATAAAACAAAACACGATAGTAAATGGCAGGATAGTAGCGAAGGAGTGAAAAAAACGAGGGAGGCTTGCCTTGGATCACGTAATGAACTCTACACCACCCGATGCAGGCCTGTCTCATTTTCGCTCTGCCGCCGCTACCATCACTTTGTTTACTATTTCACTCTGTTGTAGTAACTGAACACCTGGAGCAAGCTCTTTCAGGATAGGAATTTTAGATGAGAAAGCTTAGAATTTAAAGAAAGTATCTGTAATTTTATGTATTACAGTCTTGCACTGAAAAAATTCTACTGACCTTGCGAGGATTTGTTAATAAAGTTGAATTATTTAATTTATGAAAATTCAAAACAAACTCAGTGCAGCAGTTTCACTAAATGAGAAATAGGGGCTTGAAGGAGTTTTGCAGGAGGCACTGCCATGTGTTTTTACTAATTACTTTTGCCACTTTTCTTGCTCTGTCTCCATCCCCCCTTCTGAGTCTTAGTTCATTCCACACGCCTGTTCGCCAATGCTTGGTTGTTGGCTGTGACTCTGTTGCCATGGTGATTTCAATGCTGCTGAGGAGATTGCTAACCACCTCTAGCATTATTGACTGAGCCTTTTCAATAAAAATCATTTTATAGGCCTTCTGAGTTTAGACAATTGAGGACGTAATACCAGTATTTCGCCCAATTACCACTGAAATCATATCACAACTTACAATATTTTTCTGACCCCAGTTGTTTGAAGTGCGGATAACTCTATCCTCTGGATAAATCTCTATCTAGTGGACACTGCAGGACCTTTTGTTAACACTTATCCACTGAATAGAAATTTATCTGTTGGGTAGACTTTATCACCCTTTGAACAACTGGGCCTTCCATCTCATGACTCAGTTAATGATACTTTCAACTTACCATTACATTCGCCTCTGTAAGCCACTGTGACATTTATTCCATCTGTGCAGGCCGACCCTCTAATGTGGCACTCATTGTTATATGATTTACCATTTGTTCCACACACAGGTCGATAGTCCTTAGAACAGTGCTTGTTGCACTCGTCTCTAGCAGCTGAACCTATATTTTAAGGATATCATCAAGGCAAAAGATTGGCTTTTTGCACTGCATACAATCATAAATTGCAGTTTGTTCTCATCCTAACTTGGAGCATTTTTTTCCCTCCACCAAGCTCCTTGGATTTTTCTTCCCCTGCAAAACCCAACACAGACTCTTATGCCAGTTTTACTCAGTGGGCTAAACATGTGGGAGAGGAGGAGGAGGAGCATGAAATACTTACTAACCACACCACTATTGTTATTTGTAATCTTAATTGAAAATTTCTTGATTTCCAGAATATTCGTTAAATGAAAAGATGGACTATCTTACAGTCATGAATGGCTTCAGGATGCAGGAGTGAGGAAGGATGGTTCATTCCTTCATTAAGGTGAACTAAAAACAGATTCCCCTTTCTGGTGAAATTTGTGAGTCAAAAGGTTAGAGAAAAAAAATGATGTTAGCGTGCCATCTTAAATCTTTGATACCAACCGCATTTGCCTTCGTATTGCACTGTGATGGAGGATTCTTTTACACAAGACTGACGATTCATCTTACACTTATTGTCATAGGTTATACCATCTGTTCCACACACTGGGGCATTAACAGCTGCACAGCTGATATCACAATCACCTGAATTAGAAGGCATCCAGCATTCTTATCATGGCTACATATAGAAAGGGCTTCAATAAGCCTGTCTGGGGGCATCTCAAACAGGGATCCTTCAAAAAATTTTTATGGCAAGGCTAGTTAAATCTCTACCCATAGCAAATTTCAATGTTTGAAAATTGTTCTATTTGGAGAGTTACCTTGAATAAACAGTTAACAAGAGGAAAATACACTAATATCTAACATGGTCGAAAGAATTGTTAAGTTATATTTATCACAGCATGGAACAAATTAGAACATTATCCCAACCTCATCTAATTTTCACTCAAAAAAATTACAACTAACTAATTATCCATTTTCAAGATATTTGTCACATTTTTATGCCATATTCCTATATTTATATTCGCACGCTCATGTTTTTTATACAAAAATTATTTTGGAAAATACAGAATGGTTATATACATTACAGTCAAATACATAATTTAAGTGTTCAATTTTCTTGCATTTTGCACTCTACCTGTTACATAATTAACTTACACTGGCAGGTGTGGCATCCATAACTATCAGTTTTATAGCGATCAGTAACACATTGCTCGCACTTCCTCAGTGGACACTGGTCTACATAGAAATAATAACATGTAATGTTAAAAAAATACACATAATTATGTGATTAAACAAGGCTGAATTAAACAAAAAATAAATCATACATTTCGGAAATAACTGAAGCACACAAAATTTTGATAAGCAAAAATGTAAAATAAATGTAGTATACTTGTACCAATATAGCTTACATTTCAGGTGTGCAGTAAATCCTTCATAGTAAACAAGAGGATTTCTATTTTCCAAGACACTTGCTCTGAAATAGAATTCAAAAAGTAATTAATATATACACTCTTCCTTCCTTGCTTCCAAATTTTTTCACGGTAGATGCAAAGGCATAATGGTTGACAAGTAGACTTCATATTGAGAAGCCCACAGTCTAGATGGCTGGGTCATTAATTGTGTAGTTAATTCTTGGACATAATAGTTCTTCTCTCCATCCAGGATAGTAGATTGGTTTCCCCAGCTACGACTGTTGGGAAGCCAAAAGAAACTCAGGGTGGTGAGGGAGATGGGGGATTAAGATGCAAAGGACTAGCATTCCATAAGTAAGCTCAAGACTTCATTTCCTCATGCTATAGAAATTGGGATAAGCCCTGACCTTAGCTTGATAGCAGGCTTCATCTCTTTTTTAACTCACCTCTAGATGAGCAAATTCTGAATATCGAAATCATTAGAACTAGTGTTCAAAGAGGAACATAGTAAGTGTTATTGAATAGAACAAGGGATATAAAAGCTTGAGCTACTGTATTTCTTTTTCATTCCATGCTTTCACCAATCTATGGCATCCTCAGGATGTCTAGAATCTTTTATTCTGAGATATGTTTCCCTTTATGAAAAAAATGACAAATTAAAATAGAATTTATGTCTAAAGAAAGAAACTATATTCTGAAAGTTCAATTGCATAGATGCATTTCTCACCAGAGCAAAGCAAACTTAAAAGATCAGCAAGGAATATGTTAGTCAGTTGAGGATACGGCCATTAGTAGGAGTCTTACTAATATGCGAGCCAGCGAGTCATGCGAGTCACGATGCGAGCCATGCGAGTCATGCGAGCCACGGTTTTAACGTAAGAAAAAACATGCGAGCCATGCGAGCCAAGGTGCGAGCCACGGTTTTTACGTAAGAAAAACCATGCGAGTCATGCGAGCCACAATTTAAACGTAAGAAAAAATTACATAACGCTGTATATTAAATGATACATGACGCGAGTGACACTGGCGACATGTAGCGACGGTTTTAATTTCATAGATGATTCTAAAACGTGATGTAACTGTATTTATCTCGTGCTATTTATTTGTTTAATTATTTATTTTAAGATCTGTTATATTATGTTTTGAAAGGAGAGAAAATGTCGAAGAAAAATACCTTCGAAGATGCGTCTTGGTAGTAAAACGATTTATCGATGTTCAGATAACATCAGTACTGTATAGATTACATAACACTATCGAAGTCACGCATTCTTTGTAGTCTTTAGAGACAGAGATGTTTTTGTTGTTGTTGTTTTTTGATATATTTTTATTTTTCATTTTTCATGGCTCGCACCCTGGCTCGCATGGCTCGCAACCTGGCTCGCATGACTCGCACAGTGACTCGCATGACTCGCTGGCTCGCACATTAGGCAGACCCCATTAGTAGTGCTGTGAAATATGAAGGGGTTGAAAATAACTAAATGTATGTTCTTGTTCATATCAGCATAAATAATTTAGTACCTAAATGTAATGTTTCCAGCCACATGACCCATGCGAGGTGCCTTCCATAACATCTTCACACTGGTCCAGTTCCCAGATGAAGTGGAATTTTGGACAATCTTTTGAAATGAGATGGTGGAGTACAAACATCAAATGCTTGTGAAAGCATGTTTCGAGTCAACAGTAAAACTCGAATTTCACTGTTATGCATATTATGCTTTATAATTATTGTCCATTTGGTATCACTTTCATCACTAGTACTACATAACATTTATATCAAAGATTGCCACAGGTTGATTTTTACTGGAAATGTAGTGATATCCTTGAAGGAAAGTTATACTCTACATCAGATACCTTACAATTTTTATCCCTTTTTTGAAAAAATAGATAAGCTGGTTTAAATTGTTGACAATAGGTTCTCACATTTGAACAAGTATCAGTTTGATCCATATTTTTGCAAAATATCTGTGTGAAATAGCCAGTTACATTTTGTTAAAGTAATAAATGGTAGAAGGCTCTCAAAAGAAGGTTGCCTTCGTCAAAACTTAAAGTTCATTTAATGCGAGACTGTAAACATATTAATCAGTTATTCATTATTACATTTAACATAAATTTGTTTTGTTTAGGAAGCAATATAAATCATCACATTATACTGGTTGTCCAAGTTTTAATTTTGAGTTAAGGATTCTTAATTTACATGAGGCCAATTACTCATACATACATAAAGATCTCCGCAGCTAACTTCTTCAACCCCAAGGGGCAGATCCTCTTTGACAAAACGTCCATTGGTGTAATTTTTCACAGAGTTCTCAGCGTAAACAATAAATCCGAAGAAAGTCTTGGAGCCATTAAGGTAAACTGTGAATCAAATGTTTAGATTTATAGAGTTGAATTAATGATACTAGTCTAGTTATTGTTTATAAACCATAGTTACTATCAGAAGTAATAGATTTAGACTACATTTAACACGAAATAAGAGCTATACTGACAGAAAGATCACACAGCAGCATATCACCAATTTCCCCCATTTTACAGTTTAAGACATTCTGTGCAGAGCATGGATGGATGCAAGAAACGTTTTGGTGTATCATTAAACCTTTTTGAAACATTCTTTTGAGTTAATGTAACACTACAGTCACACCCCTTATCCTGTCTCTTAATTTATCATCTGGCTTCAAGACACTGTTCAAGTTTACCTTTACTAATCTACCACTAATCATTTTAATGATTTAAAATTCTTTTTAAAAAAGAACTACAGTTAACACCAGCATACAAGCCACACCTTTTCACCCACAATTTTTAAACAAAAAAGGGGTGCAGTCTATCTGGGAGATTAACCAAAACACATTTGTGAATTGCATAAATCATACTATTCAACAAAAATTTATAAGCTTTTATAGCACATCAACATATTTCTTGCTGTTTAGTGGTGTTAGACCTTCTCTGTAAAGAGACAGAGCTAAAAAAAACTCAATCCCGCCATCTGGTCCTCAGGGACTAGTAGATTTCTAACTTAAGCAGGCAATTTTCTCTGCCTTAACTAATTGCCCCTTGAGAGCTGAAGTTCAGTGTAGTTAGGATATGGAACAATGTTCTGTTCTTTTTTTGTGGACATAACCCCATATAAATGCATGAGATTACGTATTATATATATAATGGCAACTGAAGATAAATTCACTGAATGATAACATTGCTAAATGCACAACTGCTAAATACAAGTAGGTTGGACACATTTATCCTTTTAAGATAACATATTGGACTTGCTTTTTAGACTACAACTAATTGCATTAAAAGAATCATTACTTACTTGTGTGTGAGCTTCCTGGAAGGTAACCATCCTCAGCATGCCCATCAATACTCAGCAAATAAGGCACATTTTCTGATATATCTGATGGAGGAGTCCTAGGAAACCATGACCTCATGTGGGCACAGGAAGGCACATTTGCACAGTCCACCCAAGCATATAAGGACAGGGTGACAAGTGATGAGGAGAGATACACATGTAGCTTCATAGCTGAAAAAGTACATTTAACTAAACATTTAGTCTTTTTTGTTTCATTCTCTGTAAAATCACTCTATTAACAAACTCAAAATTGACCATTCATATCTAATCATGTTTTTAATAATCAAAAATATTAAAGGAAATAACCTGGATTACTATGAAATATGTAAATAAAATATAAATGTGCAAACTTCAATTTTGCACATTAAAGATCTTAGAAATTGGCAGGTAGCATGCGACTTCACCCACACACTAAGTCTGGCAAAAAAATGCCAAACTTTCTAATTTACGTGAATATTAATCTCTATTAATATGAATCAAGACATTGATAGCTGAGAGGCCTGGAGTGGATACAGACAGGGTGCATATTAGTATTTTCCCTTTCCTTGAAATTGAGCAATTTGTTCAGCACACAAGTCATAAGACTTGGCTAGAGCCAATGCTATTCACCACACTTAAAAAATGTATTTTAACTGCAAAATTACTTTAGTATATTACCGCTAGGGTATCTGTGCAAGTCTTATTAGTAATCTAGCAAGCAAGCAAGCAACAAGTTTATTTCTAGCTCTAAGAAAGTTTTTGTTTCCCTCTCACCCACACCATCGACAGTTTTGATATCATTGTATATAAATCTCATTCATGTTTGTAATTTATTCTTGATTATACTGGACCGTAGGTTTAGTATGTTCATCAAATATCTTTTACGTAATAATCTTGTGTGTTATTTACGTAACAACACTGTCTGATTTTGAACCAGTACAATCTCCCTGCTTGGCGAATAAGTGTAACAATTTTTAGGTTTTTCGCTGAAAGCCTCATAAAATCTTTCCTTCAAGGTGCATGATTTTATCTGGAAATGTTCACCAGTTAATATCAGGAATTGTTCTCAAGTGCAACTATTTTCTCTCAAAAACAATAGCAAGCACCAGCACATCACTCTTACTTGTCAACCGACGATGTCAAGTCTATATAAATTTATTCGTAGATTTCAAGCCCGACTGGTTGGCAACATAGAAAAAGGCGAAAACTTTAAGAGGATACAACAAATCTTGAGACTCACATAAATCACAAAGTTAACATATATTGAAAAGAACGGATCTGAAATACATCAGAAACGTTGATTCGAAAATTTAATCGCCGTGACTGATCACAGCCAGCTGACAATAATCGTAACTTTCTGTACGTATTATATATTAAGTTCATTATTTATCTTCGTTAAGAGCTTCATGGTTGCGATCATATGTAAGGAATATTAACAATGATATGCTCTGTTAGAGTTAATCGATGTGCAATACAAATCGATGGACAGACATCGGAAAACGCGAGACGGATGCGATCGCTTTCCCTAATGTATTGCAGTGCAACCAAATACATAATATACCGATTCTTATCCTTACAAACGAGCTTTTCGTCGCCTAAAAAGGTCGTAACAAAATGCTCACCTTTACTCGTTAAAAATCGCACAGAACTTTAAAGCAGTACAGACTTTTTCTTTTCTCATGTGCTTCGTAAGCAGATATTTCTGCTTGCGTGTGCACAAATGTTTTTGCTTAATTAGCAACGGGACCAATCAGGCACCTGTTATTCGCTCACAGGGTCTTGCGAAGGGACGTCGTGCAGGCAGGACGGCCAGGACTTATACTATTTTGCGAAATGAAACGAAACGAAACGAAACGAAACCAGGCGAGATAGAACAAAACTAAAGGAATAATTCAGATATATATTCTAATAAGGTAAAGATATCTTTCGCAAGAATTTGGATTAAATCTTTCATTAACATGAACGATTTTTATTCATTTCGCAAAGTAGTAATTCAAGAAGATCGAGTTACTATTTTTCGAAATGGACCATTTTCACCCTGCGGTGACAACGTTACCTCTTTCATGTCACAAAAATACATTTAGACATTACAAATTAGTATAATACCAAAAATTTTGGCCTCTTCTTATTTCTTGAACCGTATTAAAACATATTTCGCAAAATAGTAAATTTAGGAGAGTTACTATTTTGCGAAATGGACTATTTTTACCCTGAAATGACAACGTGACCTCTTTCTTGTCACAAAAATGCATTTAGACATTACAAATTAGTATATCACCAAAGACTTTGGCCTCCTCTTATCTCTTAAACGCTGTTAAAATATATTTCGCAAAATAGTAAATTTAGGAGAGTTACTATTTTGCGAAATGGACTATTTTCACTCTGCGGTGACAACGTGACCTCTTTCATGTCGCAAAAATCCATTTAAACATTACAAATTAGTATATCACCAAAGATTTTGGCCTCCTCTTATTTTCTAAACCGTATCTCGCAAAATAGTAAATTTAGGAGAGTTACTATTTTACGAAATGGGCTATATGGCTATATGGGCGGATTTTGTGATTCACACAAAACTCTACAACACAAACTTAAAACAGAAATGGACCACTAACACAAAACTCTACAACACAGCGACAACGAACACTCTAACACATGTCACTTAAAAAAATACATTTAAATAACACAAAATCTACAAGACAAACACAAACTTAGAATATTAACACAAAACTCTACGAAGATCTCGGTAACACAAAACTCCTCTTTAGCTTTCCATACAAAATTCAGAATCACAAAATCCGCAACTCAAACACAGAACTTTACAACACAAACAAAGTAGAGTTTTGTAATTTTGTGATTCTGTGTTAAGTTTGTGTTGTAAAACTACTATTTTGCCAAATAGATTATTTTTAAGTTTGTGTTGTAGGGTTTTGTGACTCTGTTTTGTTCTTACTGGCCACCGTACCTTCACACGACGGACTATAACTTGTTAATAACGAAAACGAATACGCACATGTTTTAACCTGCTCATCGAACAAACTTTTTTGATGAAGTTAGACCACGCCAACAAGCCCTACAGTGGTTGCCCTACATATGGTCAGCCTTTCTGACCATATGATCGATTTTTGCGTAATCAAAGTCTTCATGGCTTTGTTAGAAACCAAGACAAAGTTTTTCAAGCTTAAGAAATGTCCGTGAGTAAGAAACGAGTACATACCAGTCGAACAACGCTTCATTTTTTTGTTAGAAACAGAGAACGCTTCCCTTTGTTGTTAGAAACGAACAATGCTTTTAGAATCGTTACTCAAATATATTTCAATTCCGAGCATACGATCGATTTCTGTGTGGTCAAAGTCCTCATGGTATTGTTAGAAACCAAGAGTTTGTCAAACTTACGAAACGTCCGTGAATAAGAAACGATTACATACCGAACGAACAACGCTGCATTTTGTTGTTGGAAATGAACAACGTTTCCCTTTGTTGTTAGGAACGAACAACGCTTTAAGAATCTTCATGGTGTTGTCGGAAACAAAGAGCGCTTAAGTAATAAAAATTTCTCAACGTTATTACCTATTTACAGTCTGAAATTCAGATCTTTTAAGTATTTGTTTTTTCGGGCGACTTAGCTTTTTTTTTCGGGCGACATTATTAAAATTTCGGGCAACATGACTCAGGTTTCGGGTGACATGACTTCGGGCGAGATGACTCTCGGGCGACTTGACCAGTTACCGAGGAAGTAAGCCGCCATCATCACGATTTAAAGGAGCGTGGGCGGAGTTAATATGCCAAGTTTTTGAACAAAGGCGCTGGTGGTAACGCCGATTAGTGGTGATAATTTTAGACTTATCCCACCCAATTATATGGTTAGTTAGGCATGTGTGCCCCGATAAAGCTGAATTTTCTTTTTTGCAAAAGAAAACCAGTCCTTACTTCATGGTCGGGTTCAAAAACACTCGGTCTCAAAACTGCATTCCACACATACGATATGAAAGTTTACACCTTGAATCACTTCAAGATGTTACTTGGCTATCATCTGTTCCTTTTATTTGCAATATTACATCAGAAGCCAGTAAAAGGATTCTGACTTCGCTGTGGTGCAACTAACTCTTTGACCCCCCACGCAAAAAGCTGGATAAATAAATAGATAAATAGATGAATGGATAAATAAATGGTCTCAAGCAGAAAAACGGCCTAACTATTTCATCTGACACTGATGTATACGTTTTGAGCAGTTTTCGATGGAGCGTCATTTAGCTCAACCCATAGTGATCTCACTAGCAGTTAAAATTAAATACGTAAATAGCCAAGTCAATTTCCTAGGTCTATCTGCCTGTGATGCAATTTTTCAATGCAATCAAAGTGTAATTAAGCAAAGCCACTGGAATCCTGGATGATTTCCATACTCATTTGGAAATTCATTTGCTTGATAAGAGTGATTACATCAGTATACGATCTATTCTATGTGCTAGCTGGTAGTTACAATTATTTCCCCTACAAGGAACTATCCTCAATATGATTTCCAAAAGAAAATATCCTTATCCAAACGATAAGCTCAATGTAGTTGTTTTCCATCATTCCTTCCTACGTTGCCCACTTATTAACTCCAAGCCTTAAATTCAATGTTTGGTATCTTCTATTATTTAGTTTCATCTAGTTTCCCCATTTTCGGGTGGTAAAGTTTTGTGATTAATTTCAGTTTCGTCATTTGCTAGTTCAGATATTTAGTGTCTACTAGTTTAACTCTAATTCATTAACCACGCTAATTGAAGGGCTAAACAAGCTCTACTTATCAACTTAAACTATATAGAAATCTACGGTTCATTCACTGAAACACTGAAACAACAACACAGCTTTTACAGGATATCAGATACTTTACAGCTACACGCATTTATACCAGAAGCATACGCTTCATTAATATTAACTATAATTAACTACTGTACTGAAAAGAAGAAGAATCTTAACTAAATATCAAAAAAAGATCATTGAACATTTCTAATGTGAAGCATTTAAACTGCAAGTTTATGAAATCCAGGGTCTCTCAACAAAACGAAAAAATAGCAAAGAAATAAAAACAAAAGCAGTGAGAAAACATTTTAAATCTAAGTTTCCAAACATTGCAAAGATAACAGAGGTTGCGGAATCAGCTTTGTGTCCTTATCAAGGTTTTATGATTTGTTTTATTAGAGATTAAATTAAATGTTTAATTCAAAGTAGCGAACTACACAGCATTTATTCCCAAGCCTGACATCTTCCTCAAGGGTCACTTCAGAGTAAATCAACTTTTTGTCTAATGGTCTGAAAACATCAGGAATGCCAGAAAAGCAAACATCAGAGAGAGAATTGAGAATTTCACTGTCTCTTCCACGCCTAAAGAAAAAAGAAAATTAAGGTCCCTATTAATGCTAATAACACAAATATGGGCCACCGAACATTCCGTACATCGTGTGATGAAAGTTAGAAATCATCGGTATTTTCTCATCAGTGGGGGAGATCACCAGCATACTTGTACCCCATCCCACTACTAGCATTTGACCAAGCTCCTTTAATTAGAGGGAGATAGCACCTAAGTCTGCATATCTTTACTAAGGAACTAAGCCTCAGCCTACTTCCCCCTTTGGCCACGCCTTGCTGAGTTTAGGCAATTAAGGAGGCAATACTAGTATTAGGCCAAAGTACCTCTTACAGTGCATGACTGAAATCATGTAAAAACAATATTTTCCGGAAGTTAATTCTTTTTTCTATCTCACCCTCAGTACAAGTAAATGTTACTTTAAACTCACCGCTACATTCACCACTGTAAGATACAGTGATAGTTTTGTTTTTTTCACAGGCCAATGATTCCATGGTACACTTGTTACTGTAGGTTTTTCCGTCTGTTCCACACACTGGACGGTGTTCCTCTGTACACACCTTAGAGCACCGCCCTGAAGAAAGTAGACATACATTCAATAATAAGCTTTGTACCAATGCATATACTATTATTTAAAAAAAAAGCCATTTTTCTCCTCCTCACTCAAAGGGATTTTTTCCCCAGGCTCTTGGATTTTTCTTCCCCGTGCTCCACTCAGTAGACGAATCATGTGGGAGAAGACCGTGAAACGCTCAACCAACCACAACACCATTAGTACTGTTATTTGAAATCTTACTTGAAAATTACTTTGTTTCCAGGATATTCATTAAATGAACAAATGGACCATCCAGTCAAAATTAGCTTCAGGGCTGTGGAATTACTATCTTGGCTTTCCATCACAACTGCCATGCATACTATTTTAGAAGGGCAATAATCACTCCAGATCCTTGTCTTCTTTTCGGGTCTCTTGCTACTCTAATCACAACTGCTACAATTCCCTCAAATTTTCACTAATTATTCTGTAGATTTGTAATTGGACATTGTAATTGGACAGTTGACAGTATTTGAACACCTGGAGTGGGACAGTTAAAGGGGCTAAGACCACTCAGCAAAATCCACCACTCACAGAATAGATTACAATAACCATAGCAACAACCATTAATCCTACAAAATGGGAGAATTTCCAAAATGGAGGAAATTTCTACATTAGACAATGTCTATGACAGAGATACTTTCTCATTCCAAGTAAATGTACTTAATTGTATTTTTTGGAAATTGTAATGGTTAGGATTAATTAGTAAAGGACTTTGAGTCCAATTCAGTCCTTAATCATAGTTGTGATTGACAAAAGGGACTCCCGCTTCACGGTTGTCCGAGTTTGTAACCACTAGTATGATTATACAAACCAAATTGGACGCGATCCACTCCATCCTTGTAGCGGCACCCGTGTTCCGCCCTTTTTTGAGTCATGTATGCGTCGCGGATTTCTGCTCATGCGCGCTAGTTTTGTTATGTTATTGACGACGCGGTCCGATGCTAGAGCCCGGAAAGGCGTAAGTTTTTACCTTTCTGCTTGCCGTTTTCCAGTTTTTCTGTATACCTACTGTACATCTGTATATCTAGTTTGACAGATTCACTTCTTTAGCGATTTGGAGATGTATTGCGCGTGTGGATTTGTGATTAAAGCTATGATAATCTGTTCAAGTCAAATGGGTGTTTTGGATTTCGGACCCGCGCTGGCATAATCCTATTACCATTACTTACTGATAATTTCTGAGATATTGAGTGTATCAATGTCTTTTGGTGTAATTCAACCTAAACCTGATCTCCCAGTAATTCAGGATCTTCAAATGGTTAATACTCTAGTTTTGCCTCAACTTTCCATCACTAATCAATATGATCAAAGTGTTTGATACTAACCACATGGGCCATCCTTCTGCACCGTAATTGGGGATTTTTTTTCACAAGAATGACGCTTCATTTCACACTTGTTGCTGTATGTTTTACCATCTGTTCCACACACTGGAGCATATATCCCACCACAGGCCACGTCACAAACACCTGTAGTAAGACATCAAGTATTTTTATCAAGGCTACAACTATAAAGTGCTTCTATTGGTCTTCCTGAGGTGTCCCAACTTGGGATTCAGTTTGATTCAAAGTTCAATCTCTGCCCTGCACAGTAATCAACTCCACTGTTAAGTATAATTTTATGATCTGCCTGAACAATATCTGTGAATTAACCAGAAAATCACACTACACAAACATGATCAAAAGCTATTTATCCCACAAAAAAAAAATTAGGATATCATTTCAAACCCATTCACTAATTATTTTGTCTTAATACATCATGCCATATATATTCAGCATGTACATTATTCATATTATTGAGTACCATTTTGAAAAATAAAGAATTTCTTCAGCAGTCAAATAGTCTCAACCCTTCAACTCCCAAGATCTGATTGTTAATTCTCCCCTCTAGCTGCTACACATTTCCTTTTAAATTAGTTTGGAGAATTTGGTGTTAGATCAAGAAAAACAACTTCTACATGATAAGTTGAAGTATTCTCATTACTTGTTTGCTAGATTTAAAGTGTATGGATATTATGGGGAGAAGTTAATACCTCGAAATCACAATGGGAGTTAAAGGGTTTAAAACATTTTTCATTCCTTATTTTTTCTTTTTACATGTTGCACAATACACTGACATGTCACAACTTACATTGACAAGTATTACATCCATAACTGTCATACTTATAGACACCAGTTGGGCACTGAACACATTTCGGTAACGGACACTGGTCTGCATAGAAATTAAATTACATGTAATGTTAAAAAATACATGTTGTGATTAAATGAGGCATGCAACTTAAAAGAAAAATAAATCAAGCCCACATTAATAGAATCATTTAGATTGAAGCAAACAAAATTTTGATCATCAAAACTTTATAACTTCAATTGAATTAAATTATAAGCTATGAATTAAACATCAACTAAATCTAGTATACTTTATAACAACATAGCTTACATTTCAGGTGAGCAGTAAATCCTTCATAGTAAACAACAGGATTTGTGTTTTCCACGACACTTGCTCTAAAATAGAATTCAAAAAGTAAGCTGAAAACCATCAGCTTCTACTAACAACCCCAAGCTACAAATTCAGCACAAATATTAGGTGTTGTTTGTTTATCACGTCCCTGAGTCCCACGTCCGAGTCCCACATCCCAGTTCCTACATCCCACTTTTAGTTACAGCCTGAATATACCAGTCAGTTGAGGATGTAAGTAGCTATAAAGTAAAGATAGCCCACATCTTTCAACATTCAGTAGTCACCAGTACATGCACTTTGAGCCTCATTACAGGATTTTCATTGGTATCAGAACAAATTTTGTAGTACCTGAATGTAATGTTTCCAGCCTTATAACTCTGGGGGGGCTTCCATAACATCTTTACACTAGTCCAGTTCCCAGATGAAGTGGAATTTTGGATAATCTTTTGGTATGAGATGACAAAATGCAAACATCAAATATTTCTCAAAGCATGTTTCAGGTCAATAGTGAAACTCATAATTTCACTATTATGTATATTATGAATGGTTTAAAATTATTGACCATTTGCCTTCCCTTTCACTACTAGTACTACATAACAATCATATCAAAGTGTCTGCTGGTGGTTGATTTTTAATTGGCAAATATACTCATTGCCTATAAAGGAGAAATGCAAAGCTCCTGATAAGAAACCTCACTATTTTAATCTTTGCAAATTAAAAGTTAAATTCATGATTTAATTTCAAAGTGCTGGGGTGATAACTTCAGATACTGCAGGGGTCTCATTGTACACAATGGGTTTTCACATTTGAACAAAAAGATGTTCATTGTATTCCTATTTTGGTAAAGTGTTGAGCCAGTAACATTTACTTGAATTAACTGGTTGCTACATGGCTCTTTACAATTTAAAATGTCTGCTTCTGATTGCCATGAAGATAAATTCATTTTATACATGACTGTACACATTATATGTACCAACATAAAATACATCCACACAACACCACTTTGCATCATTTATTAGGCACATACCACATTGTACTGGTTGTATTTAAGCTTAAAATGAATAGATTCTTTACAATTAATTGGGCTAGGGACTCATACATACATAAAGGTCTCCACAGCTAACTTCTTCAACCCCAGTAGGCAAATCTTCTCTAACAAAACGTCCATTGGTGTAATTTTTCACAGAATTCTCAGCATAAACAATAAATCCAACAAAATTCCTGGATCCATTAAGATAAACTGTAAATCAAATATTTAAATCTGTTTAGCAAATAAATCTCTTCAGGCAGCTAATACATTGGCTGATATTGTGTCCACAACTGAGATAATTTGTGCCAAAAAAAAATTAATAAACCCTCCAGGGCAAATTTGAAATTTTAAGGCAACAGCCAAAATTTATGAAGATGAAAAAGTGAAACTCTTGCGCTGGCTTTTTTCCACTGGCTTTGTTTATTTTTGACAAAAATAACCAGAGGACAAATATTGATGTAGACAGGGGTCATTGTGATACTTAAGTATCTAATTGACTCATACAAAAATTACTAGGTTGATTTTTACGAGTCATGTCCCTGCCTGGTTCTAATAATTGGTTAGACATTTTATCATTCATAGATCTAGGTTACATTAAAATTCTAGATGAGAGCTTCTGAATGATCAGTCTGTGCTATCACTATTGAAAGTTGTCCCTTTATTTAACAGTTTCAGACATTCTGTGCAGTGCATGGATACAAGATTTTTTTTTGGTGAAAACTTTTTAACCTCAGTGAAGCATGTTTTAAAATAATTAATTTGCTATGCTGATGTCACATACTTTATTCTCTTAATTAACTGTCTGTCTTTAATGCTGTTTTAGGCTGCTATAATTACCATGAATATTCATCAAAAAGTACTGGTATGGAAATTGGTTATAATCATCATTAATACAACATTAATTACCATACCACAACATGAACACCATTTACCATAAATAAATTTTTAAAATTACCAATTAAGAGTTAGATCTCATTCTTTATCCACTAAATTTAGCCATTAACATAAAATTTAGCAATGCTCAAGTACTTTTTTTTTTTTTTTTTTTTGAAGGTTATCAAGACAGACAATCATAATGAAAGATATGACATATCTAGTTCATTCTCAGTTGGGATATAAAATGTGCTGTTCTTTTTTGTAGATATAATCCATAGCATAAGATTGTATATTTATTTACCTACATGTAGATAAATTCATGAAATGCTAGAATTACTAAATGCTCAATTGCTGAAGACAAAAAGGGATGCATTTACCTCATGATGTTTTTAACACAATTTCCAGACTACAACTTATTAATTGCATCACAATCATCATTACTTACTTGTATGGGAGCTTCCTGGAAAGTAACCAGTGTGCCCATGGACACTCAACCGATAAGGCAAATTTTCTGAAAAATTTGATGGAGGAGTCCCAGGAAACCATGACCTCATGCTGGCACAAGAAGGCAAATTTGCACAGTCCACCCAAGCATATGAGAACAGGGTGACAAGCAATATAGAGAGATACACATGTAGCTTCATAGCTGAAAAAATACATTAAATTAACCATTAAGTCTTTTTTTTATTTCACTCTCTGTAAAATCACTCTACTAACAAATTCAAAATTGACCATTAATATTTAATCAAGTTTTTAATAATCAATGATGTAAAGGAGATAAAATACGTAAGTTAAAATATAAATGTGCAAACTTCAATCCTGTTCCTCAAACATCTGAAAAATTAGCTGGTTGCATGACACTCCAGTAACACGCCTGAGTCTGGCAAAAAAATTCCAAACTTTCTAATTTACTGTGGTACAAAGGCAGTACAGATCAGAAGCTTACACTACATTAATGAAGAAACTCAGTAACTAAGGAAGCTAAATCTTTTACACACCAACAAACATCAAACTGCTGCAAAAAATATGCCTCTTCCGAGTACCATGACAAACGACAACACAGAACTCTAGTTTGTTTAGAGGCAAATTTGTCGAGTCGTTATAAATTTTTACTTAGATTACCAGAGAGAGTTGAAAACTTTACCGAGGACACAACGAATCTTGAGACTCACATAATTACAAAACTAATTTTGAAAAGAACAGATCCGATGATGTTAAAGTTTCCCCGCCTTGAACTATTACAGCTCAATATCTTCGTTAAGCACCCCATGGTTGACATCACAGTGATGTAATATTAACAATGATAGGCTCTATAAGAGTTAATCGACGAAGAAGATTCATTCCAAGTGCGATTAAAATCGATGGACAGACATTGGAGATTCCTCGACCAAATTGCAAAACGAATATGATCGCTTGCAATGCAACCGTATGTATACTACACTCCTACGACATGAGCTTTTCGTTGCCTAGTAAGTTTAAAACTAAATGCTCACCTTTACTCGTTTGAAATCGTACAGCAATTAAAGCAGGACAGATTTAACTAATGTGCTTTGGTTGCAGATATTTCTGCTTTCGTGAGCATAATATATGTGCAAAGATATCAGTCACGCAAAACCACACCTCTGGCTCGTTCGTTGGGTCGCACGTTCAATAGCGACCTCGTGCTTGCATAACGCAACGCTAAGTCGATTGAAAATGAATTCACGTTATCCTTAAGAATTTCTCGTATAGTTGCATGTGTTAACTGTCTCTAAGGCCGCCAGATCTCAACGTCAGCATCAGGTCACGTAAATTTGCCTGGGTGTTTTCCATGTTGACATTTTGCAGATGACAGCTAGGAAATTGTTTCACCATGTTCTCCCTTCCGTCGCCGTTGGAGTTTACCTAAGGTCCTCACTGTTCGGTGAAACGGCGCGCGATAATGGACGCACTAATTGTAAATATGTAGATATGTTTATTGAAAAAAGTGCAACTTGCAGCTGGAAGGCTGAATTGCGTGTACACAAAATAATAATTTTAGATAAAATTAATAGATATGTAAATTTAATAATATTGAAAACGTGAATTACAAAATTGGATTTAATCTATGTGTTCTAAATATGTGCTATAAAACGGGGCATTATATCTCTAAGTCTATTGGAAAATATAGTTCATAATTTATATATCAGGATTCGTTATAAACTCCAACTGAAGACGATACAAGGGTGTTGGTAAATCTACAAGTTTTTGCTCTTGGGGGGACAAAGACCCGAGTCTGTCTAAGATTATATCTTGGGATGCGTCTTTCTGGTAGAAGATGTCCAAGGTTGTGACTGGGTGTAGTAACAATGTCATTGAATAGTTTGTCACATGCTTTTAAACGCCTGCCGCTTAGCTTTCAAATTCCACTGAGGTTCAAGCTGTCCGCGTAGTCGATGTTGGGGTAGATGATTGCAGGGATCGCGCAGCAAGTTTTCGAGTGGGGGGGCTAAAGAAGAATGCGTGAAGGAAAATTTTTTTGTTAAATTATTTTTTGTTTAATTTATTTTTATTCTTGCAAAAAAGTGGGGGGGCTAAAGCCCCCCCAGCCCCTCCCTCTGCGCGGTCCCTGCTATGGCATCTGATAAGTAGTATAGTCTAACGCAGGTTACATAAAAGGTAATAATGTCTTGTTCAGGGACTTTGGCGCGTTTTAACTAGACTATTAGCTTTCTTGATAATATTGGCCACGTGGTCATTCTACTTCAGGTCGTCGCTAACGGCTAGTCCTAGTATTCTAGCATTCGTTACTTCTTCAAGCTGACCAGAGTCGATATTTAAGGTTGGGAAATTGTTCGCAGTTTTTGAGAAAGAGATCATGAGTTCTTTGCACTTAGCAACATTTAGCTGTAGTCTGTTAGTGGTTGACCAAGTTTGGACGCTGTCAACGGCATCTTGGATGTTAGTGGTGGAGCCTTTAGGCACGACTTCGGAAATGGTGGTGTTATCGATGTATTTCTAGGTTTGTACTTGAAGAAACATTAATTGGAATACAAATCGACCCACATCCACTGACCATTACCCTGTCCCCTATTTCATACCCCGAAGGCGTGCCGAAATGTTCATCAGTACCTGAGAGACCCTCCCGGAATCGTAAGTTCATCAGTACCGGGGAGACCCTCCCGAACATGGACCACGAATTGGTTACAACAGCGAACATGTTTTAAGCTGCTCATTTAATAAATCCAGGTATTCATTAAAATGAAATGGGCAGAAAAACTGAAAATGTGATAAATAATGTTTAAACCTTGGTAAACAGAGGAGAGTTGACAGAGGTTACTAGCAATCAGCTTCACACACATCATGATGAACAAAACTTTATTTCATCTCAAGTACACAGAGTAGAAGAGAGTTAGTACTATTATCTCAAGCTAATTACATTTAATAATTAATTAAATTGCTAATTAGGTAACTAACTGTCCAAATTAATGAGGCTTACTGGTTTTCCTAATAAACTAAGTCAAAATTATATGCCAATCAGTTCGAAGCTTCCACATCCCCTCCACCTCCCCCTGTGCAATCCATGGACATTTGACCATCGTTCATCCGTGGCTGGTGGGGAGTTTGAACCCTTCTTGACTGGGGATGGGGAATTTGAACCGCAAGTGTCAATTCTTTCCAGTGGAGTACAAGTGTTATATCTTTAAATGTGGAGGTGTTCAAGATAAATAATTCACTTTCACGAGAAAACGGTTCTGAAAAAAAGGTCTATAAGGTCTAGGTTTTAAAGCTTGGTCAAAGTGTGGAAAGGCACTATCACTGCTTTTGCTTCTCACGAAAAAATTAGGTGATAACTAACAAAATGTAATAAAAAAAAACAAGCAATTGTCAGAAAATTTTAATCATAAAGTATAACAAGATATTTGCACCAAATTTCTTCATAGTTCCAACCGTCTCTCAAAGAATAAAATAATTCTTTTTCTACTCCATACTCCAAAACAATAGGAATGCCAGAGGAGAAAACACCAGAGAAAACCATGTGAATCTCACTGTTTCTACACCACCTAAAGAAAAATAAATTTTAAAAAAAGGTCCTTATCAATACCAAAACAAGAATAATCCAGCTACTATTCCACTAATCTTGACAGAGACAAAGTTAGAGGCACCCTTGCGAACTGAATTCCCAGTTTTCTGGGAATTCCTAGGAATTCTCAAAAATTCCCAATTATGCAAATGACCCTTGCAAACTGAATTCCCAGTTTTCTGGGAATTTCTGGGAATTTCTGGGAATTCCTAGGAATTCCTAGGAATTCCTAGGAATTCCTAGGAATTCTCAAAAATTCCCAACTATGCAAATTAGCTCTGATTTAAAAAGCTTGGAATTACTGGGAATTTCTGGGAAAGGAAGACTCCAGTTTTGTGAGGACTTGGAATCCCTAGGAATTCCTAGGAATTCTCAGCTTTACAAACTACCTATAATTTAAGAAGTGTGGAACTCTTGGGAATTTCTGGGAATTGAATTTGAGGCAATTTTAATACCCTGAGGTCCACATAAATTCTAAGAAATTCTCAATACCTTGAATGTGAAGGTTTTAAGAAAAAGGGTAATTTCAGAGGCTTAAAACTTTGGCTCAATAAAAGGTATGCTATACAAAACTTACCAAGAGATATACATACATGTACATGTTTATAACTTAAAGATCATGAAATTTATTACTCAAACTAAGTTTTAGTAAATCTTTACATTAATATGGATTTTCTCATGAACCAGCTGTCAGTTATGTTAAATGGAAATTGCCAACTTCCACAATAATTAACAATAATTACATTGTTGCGGCAAACGAACATCAAGGCTCGATGAAATACCAAGAAAATCGTGACCGGAGAAAAATGCCAACCAAATCCAGGGGATATATTACAGGGACATAACTTTAATCAATCTCGTAAACTGTAAACGAATTAAAAAAGGGACTTATATAATAGATTGTATTCAATTAAACACGTGGCGACTTAACAGCGTAAATGAATCTAACATAATAAAAGAACTAACAAATGAACCAAATGCTACGGCAAACACAAAATATATATACAAATAAGGACGAAAGAGCTTGCTCGAAACGAGATAAACAACAAAAAGCGAAAACAACTTACATATCAGTCCCTATACGCCGGTGGCTTGAAATCACACTTTATAAATTAACTTTGTATGCACTCCGAACATGAACAGGCGATTAATGAAAGCGGGAGAGAAAAACTATTTAAAGGAATCAAATGGCACAAAGGCCAACTGTAACGCAAATGTCACGCAAGTTCGAAAGTCACGCATTTACATACATTGTTATCCTACTTCCCTAACCTACATTACTGGTTGCCTTTGTTAGAAAATCTTGGAACAGTCAAGCTCAGTTGCCTCCAACTCTGTCAGAGACTTTTTGTTGACAATACTTTTAGTAGAAATTTCATGCCTTAGACAAACAAATTCAACACCTAATTAATCTTTCTTTTTTCATGATTGTTGTTGCTGCTTTTTTTTTCAGTTTTTTGCTCTATTTTCATGACTAATTGCTGTAATTTGTTTTGCTGTTTTTATTCTTACAAAACATTTTTGTAAGAGTTTCAATACTTGTGGATCATCCACACACTTTGCAAACATTTGGCATGCAGACAAGACAGAGGTAGTCAATGTTCCCTTTGCGGAAAAACACCTTTTATATGACGTCTTCAATTTACTTTATTTGAAACTCTGATCTGAAAATATTTGTCAACAAGACTTGTTAGTAGTGAGAAATACCAACTAAGTTTCCTTTCATAACTTAATTTCTTAAATGTCCCAATCACTGGATCTCCCAAAAAACATTACATCGTTTTATTTTTGGTGCAAATTACAAGTCCTTCTTTATATAAAAATGAAAAGTGCTAGTCACACTTCAATAATAACAGCTCTTAAGTTTACTTGTTGTTCTTCTCTGTCTGTCAGCTATCAACAAAATTGTTTTATACTTCGGGCAGTGCATAACTATTTGTGGACCAGAGTTCCAACGCACCTCTGTAATCGCATATAGCTACTTCTGTCTCTTGTACAAATGTTTCTCCTTTGTAAGACGCACTCTACTCTGTTGTCAATACTGCTTTAAGTTCAGTGGAAACGACTGACTGAGGAATCGAGATGGCGGTGTTGGAACGTGTTGCTGAACGCTTTCTACGGTCAAGCTTTGTAGATTTAGGTACTGGTACACTGAGATCATCTATGTATCTCTTATACTTCCGAATGTGGTATCCTTCTTTTACAAATATGAGGGTAAAAGACGATTTGTAGTCGCATTCAAAACTGTGATTGGCTTGTGTTATTTCTCACCTTTGCCATTAACACCACTCAAGTGAGTTTCGAGTCTTTGTTTCCTCGACAACTTTCGGCCACAAAACGAGCATTTGTAATACGATCGATTCTTGTCGATTATTTCTACATAGAGTGAGCTCACATCTTTATTTATATCACCAAGCTATCCATCTTCTAGAAGCAGAGAACCGGTCGGAGAAGTCAGAATAAAGTTAGGCACTTCTCCTAACACTGCAATCGGCAAGCCAGCGGATTCACTTTGCTAGCCAATGACAAGTCCTAAAAGATCCACGTGATCATGCCCGTGATCGGAAACAAAGAAGACTCCATTTGGCGCTCATCTTTGAATGTACTTTTCATCGGTTGATCGCTTTTCTCAACTGTTTTGCTTAATATAACATTTCTAAAGATAGCTTTTATTGTGGTTCAATGGGAAAACGAGAATAGCGTGAGTGTTGTAAAAGAAAAGAAAGTCGTTGGCGCCGTGGAGTTAAAAGAAGGGACAACAGTTGACATGTTGACTGGTACAAACAAGGGTCGAATGGCCGTCTGTAAAGCTACGATTTTGAAAGTTTGTGGTGAGTAAAAATTGCGATATTCGTTACGTGATCAAAATCTTATAAAAGAATAGATGTAGCGGGTTGAATTAAGCTTACATAACGCTCGGCGCAACTGAAACTAGAATAATTCTGAGAATCGAATCGGTCACTTGCATGCCGCAGTTTCTTAAGCTTATTATGCTTTACAATGAAATAAACCTATCAGTAAGGTTTCAAGATTCCTCTAGTCACGTTTGGGAACATTCAAGATTCAAAATAGGAACTGTTATTAAACAAACCTTAGTACATAAAGAAGCCCTCCTTGGTAAAAACAAAATAATGTATTCAGCCCTTTTTTAGTAAAATCCATGAGAGAGATGTACTAACTCCAATATGAAAGTCACTCAATATAACAGAGATTTCTCAATTTGAGAATCCAATGAATGCCCTTTTCCTCATAGCCATCTTAAAAGCCTGGTCTTAGCTTTAAATATACATATTTTAATATATTATTTTTTTTCAAATTCAGATGTCAAGGAATCCAGATACAAAATGGTCAAGGTTCTTGTTGACAACCTCATTCAAGGCCAACTCATTGTGAGCCCAGGAAAAAAATACAAACAGTACAAACAGCAGCTAAGTTTGCAGTTTAGGATAACTTCATTTTAATTTATTGTTACGGTTAAAACAAGATTTTAATCAAAAAACCAATTTTATTTGTCTGTAATTAGCCCCTTCACTCCCAAGAGTGCTTGGTTTTCAAATATAACTTAAGATATTGTATTTTATGGAAAAGAATCAACAGATTTTATTCACAATTTGTGTCAAACCAAATTTAATGATTGATTAGAACTATTTTATATGAATAGCTGTAATTGAGGATTAATCCGTATGAAGTTTTCAAGAAAAGAAAAATAAATCAAATTCCATCCTAATATTACCACACATTGATGTTAATAATTAATCAAAAATATTTTACATGTAAGCCTTAAATTAAGCTTCTAAATAAATTTCATTGAATACTTGAATTTTAGCTGGGTTTTTTTTAATTTAAAGTATTTATTTTATATCATTAGCCTCAAATTTTTGCTTAAAATTCCCAGTAATTCTTAAACATTCCTAAAAATTCCCAAAAATTCCCAGAAATTCCCAGAAATTCCTAGGAATTTTTTAGATTTACAGCTTTTCAGGGAAAGTCATTGGTTCTCTGAGTTGGAATTCCTAGGAATTCCTAGGAATTCCAAGTCCTGTTGGCTATAAACTTGGAATTTCTGGGAATTTCTGGGAATTTCTGGGAATTTCTAGGAATTTCTAGGTTTTTAGAACCAGAGTTGTTATGGTTGGGAATTCCTAGGAATTCCTAGGAATTCCCAGTCCGAATTTACCGTGAAAATTCACACCTTTATTCCTAGGAATTCCTAGGAATTCCTAGGAATTCCTAGGAATAAATTCCTAGGAATTCCTAGGAAAATCCTAGGAATTCCTAGGAATTCCAAAAGCCATTTCGCAAGGGCGAGTGGTGGTTGCAGGCACTGGTGTGCATGAGTTTCAGTACAATCTTCCCCATATCCATATTTTCCTCAGTGCTTCATCCACATTCATAACACCTTCCCCAGTCCCCCTCCCCCTTGCCTTACCTCCCCCAGTCTCCCTCCCCCTTGCCTTACCTCCCCAGTCTCCCTCCCCCTTGCCTTACCTCCCCCAGTCTCCCTCCCCCTTGCCTTGCCTCCCCCAGGCTCCCTCCCCCTTGCCTTACCTCCCCCAGTCTCCCTCCCCCTTGCCTTACCTCCCCCAGTCTCCCTCCCCCTTGTCTTACCTCCCCCAGTCTCCTTCCTCTTTGCCTTACCCCAAGTCCCCCTTCCCCTTACCTTACATTCCCTATTCCTTGGTGCCCACTGCTCTACTGGATGATTAATACAATTGAAAGTTTATTTATACTAACCACATTCACCATTGTAATCCACTTGCAGACGTTTTTTACTCGATATGATTTGTTTACAAGCATGACGCTCCATTTCACACTTGTTGCCATAGGTTTTACCATCAGTTCCACACACTGGAGCATATATATCAGTACAGACAAACTCACAATTGCCTGCAACATTAATACATCAGGAAGGTTATGAAGAGCTCCTATTTGTCTCCTTGAGAAATCTCAGACATTTCACCACAGGATTCCTTAAAAAAATCATTAAACCAGGAGATATCCACCATTTGATATACAGGACCATAAAAATACTAAGACACTACGAGCCTCCAACTGGTCAAAAGCCTTCCATTTATTGCACCAGTAAACCTAACGTTCCCCTAACATCCCATCTGGGTTATTACGCTAGCAAACCAATCTAAAATTCAGTCCATTGCTTTATGGTGTGACACCTGGACAATCATACCACATATACATGACTGATCATTATCTCCAAGTTCAACCCTTTTCTATTTTAGAATTAATGACCCTGCATCTGTCTTTTTAATGAACACATATGCTGACTGAGCAACTTTGTAACAACTCATGCCATGTATTGCTAGTAAGCACATAAAAATTATATACTGAGTGTTGTTCCAATAAGTATAGATTGGCATCTGTATCACCTACTAAAAACACTTCAGTCAGGCATCCATAACTGTCAGTTATGTAGAAGCCACCAGGGCAAGAAGCACACTTGTATACTGGGCATGCATCTATGGGAGAAACAATTAATCAACCCTTTCACTCCCAACATCTCATTAGTAATTCTCCTTACTGTCTGCTGTACAGTTCTTATGTGCTAGTTTGGAGAATTTGGTATAGGATCAAATGATCATCAATAATTTTTTTCAACTCAATACTTAAATCTGCTTGATATTGTATTGATATTGTAAGGGGAAATCTGTCTTTGTCACTCACAGGAGTTAAAGGGTTACTGATTTAAAATTAACGAATTATTTAATAAATAATTTTGATCAAATGTTTTACAAGTAGAACATCAATGACATTAGAACATTAAGTAAGAAAATTAATCAGAAAGCAACAACTCACTTTAGATTGAGACAATTTACACTTTAAATTCATTTCTCAAATAAAAAATTCAAAATAATTTATGAAAGTAACATTACAACAAACACCCTATTAACTCACACTTCAGATGTGCAGTAAATCCTTCATAGTAAGTGAGAGGATCTGTCTTTTCCAAGACACTTGCTCTGAAAGGGATTTCAAAAAAATTATAGATACTCTTTTATCTTTAATAAATTCTGGAGGTTTTCAAAAGAGAAGTATTCATAAAAAAAAGTATAATTCTGACTGATATATATTTTGCTAAATCACTAACAGTAGCATTGCATATTAAAAACCTGACTCTTTCCTAACAAATACAGTTTCTTTTTCACATAATTAATACTAACTTACTATGAAACTCAGACAACTTTCACTAGCAGAAATATTTAGGGAGTAATTATGTTTCAGGGAAAATGCTAATCAGACTTCAGAAAATTCAATTGCAAACTGCAACATTGATATGTAGTTTGTGATTTCATGGTTCCTCTGGCATGTCTTGAAATTACTGATTTATCAATACATAATTGATCTGTCAGAATCAAATCAATTGGTGCTCACAGTTTCATGAGTTTCACAATAAAAAATCATCACAGAAAATATAATTTTGTCAGGAGCCCTCCTGATTTCAATCAGGAATTGAAAGTAATGCCCCAATCAAAGCTCCAACATCTCCCTACCACAGGTAACCAGCATGACATTTGACTATAGTCTGTGCTCAGGGGTGGGAAATTTGAACCTTGTATGGATGGGGTGGGGAATTTGAACTGGAAATATAAAGTGCTTGTGTTTTAATGCCATTTGCCTTTCCAAATTGTCTTTTAGAGCCATTTGCTTCTATGAGCAAATGGCTTAAAAAGACATTTTCCAAAAGGGGTATTGAAGCTTTAAATTGATCAATGCTTAAGCTCTGATTAGACGCAGTCTTAAGTTTCAACAATAGGCAATCATATGCCTTTGAACCACAAGTATCATTTAAATCAGTGAACATCATTTATTACCTGAAAGTTATGTTTCCAGCTAAATAGCCATCTTTAGGTGCCTCCCATACTAATTTGATACTAGTCCAGTTTCCAGATGTTGTAGAGTTTTGAATAATCTTTTAGTATAAGGTAGCAAAATTAAAATAATTAATTGATAAATAAGAATATCATAAACAGCATGTTTAAACATAACATCAGATAAATAAATTCAAGATTCTTGAGAAGTAGTCAGCTAATGATTTATACATACTGAGAGATTTCCACAGCTATTTTCTTCAACTCCTGAGGATAAATTATTCTTAACAAATTGTCCATTAGGGTATTCTTTCACAGAGTTCTCAGCATAAACAATAAATCCAACAAAACTCCTCGTTTTATTATCTCCACCCATGGAGCCATTAAGGTAAACTGCAAGATAAATGTTTTAAGTCATTTTAAAAAAATATCTGATTCAGAGATAATAATAATTATTATTATAAAATTTCTGAACTAAATGAGAGCTGCCATCTGTTTTTCACCTATTAAAAACCTCGCATTATCCTTTCTGAGATTTCATTTGTACCTAATTCTAATTAAAGTGGATATTTTCACTTTATGTAGCATTTTTTTAAGTAAACAATCATCATGATGCTATCAATCATTTGAATCTAAATTCATTTTTGAACTATTTACAATTAACATATAATTCACGTTTCCAATACTATTCAAATGCTATAGATTAACTAATCTGTTAGACCACTAACTTACTTGTGTGTAAACTTCTTGAGTAGTAACCTCCTCTAGTATAACTACTGACACTTAGCTGGTATGGCAAATTATCAGCTAGGGTTGATGGACTATTCCCAGGAAACCATGATCTCATGCTGGCACAGGAAGGCACATTTGCACCATCCACCCAAAAACATGAGATTATGGTAACAAGAAGTATTGAGAGATGCACTTGTAGTTTCATGGCTGAAAAAGGATGGTATAAGGCATAAAATTAGTCAGAAAAAGTAAAACAAGATTTTTTACAATAAGTTAATTAATTTTTGTGACTAATTGTTTTTTTTTAACAATTTATTCATTATCACTCAAGATCTAGTTTCTTTTGGTCTACTCATTCAAAAACTTAACAATATAAAAAAAGAGCCACTCACTCCAAGCTTAATGAACACAATGTACATGCATTTCTCAAAAAATTCAAAAACGGAACCCTATCAGCCTTTAACCCTTTAACTCCCATGAGTGACCAAGACAGAATTTCTCCTTACAATATCAATACAGTATCAAGCAGAAAAGTGATGAGAATAAAGAAAAATATAAATTAAGGGAATATAAGATGATCCAATACAAATTCTCCAAACAAACATCATGAGAACTGTATGGCAGACAGTAAGGAGAATTAATAATGAGATCTTGAGAATTAAAGGGTTAAAAAGGTGCCAATTATATTCATACTAATTATTAATAAGATGTTTTCTTTCAAGGACAGAATAATATTTATTTAGCAATTCAGTCTGGTTTTCAAGTGTAAAGCAATTGCAAATATTTCCTTTTGGCTAATATCGTGTGTAAATCTCTCTCCTAAAAAATTCAAAATTTCCAAAATATGTATGCTAGTATTTTTCTCAATCTCTTTGCTTTGTACCATATCTTTCATAGTATCATCATTTTATATGAATTACTGTAAATAAGTTTCACGTGATCGGGTTACATGAAAATATGAGACTACGACCTTGGACCATCGTTTAAAAAGACACTTGTTGGATTGACCGCACTCACAGTTAAAACACAATCGTTAAGACTTACAGTTATGATGTGTGAAAAAAGAAAAGTAAAGATGTAGATGAGATTCTCACCTAAACTGGTTCAGATCGTCACCACAGCTCAGCCTGTAGCGAGTTTTTTTTTGCGTGCGTCTGTAAGCATAAAATTGTGCTTCAGTCAGCGGAAGTGTAATATCAAACAAAGTCCTGCTGATACAAGGTGGTCGCTTCAGCCCTATTTACATAGTTCAACCGCACTGGGAATGGCACTAGTACGATAACTTCGTTCCCAGGGTCATACGTTCGATAGCGCGCGCGAGTCACTCTCTGTAAGCTTGAGGAATTAGCTTGAGGTAAGTGCTTGAATTACTTCTATTATGTGGGCAATACTACCCACAACATTGGCAAGTGGTCACTTTGACTCTTAATATGAGGTGTGTGAAAAGGTCGCTTGGCACTCGAAAATCCGAGCGACTTCTAACATCCATTCAAACGCAAATTAGTTCACTTGACTTAAATTGGAAAACTCAAAAGGCTTTAAATTATCAGGTCAATTGTTCAAGTGCCATTTCTGAATATAAACTAGAACCGTATCTGAACTTAGGCGCCCGTAATTATACATAATTCTACGTTCAGTCTCTAACCTTGCAATCATTTCTCAGGAAAAATTCATATGTCATGTGAAAGGCTTTATGAAAGTGATTGAAAAACATGTGAAAAACACCATCCCTTCCAAATAGTGTTTTTTAACCTGGTTCATTCATTTCGTTTTTTAAGCAAACAATTATAAAACCGGAGCGTACCCACCCACCATAATACTTAAACTGTGATTGGTGGCTGGCTTTAACAGTCCCGAATTTTAAAGGGCCTTACTTCTGAGGTAGTCGTATATTTTAGGTACTTGATTCAATATTTGTACGGCGCTCTAATATAAAAAATTGCCTTTGGCATTTCCTGAGCCGTAAAAACTTTCAGCGGCAGGTGTCAAGATCGCTCTCTTGTGCATATCATTTACTAGCAAAATTAGAGCTTGTGCGTGCGATAAATCATGCCTAAAAAACATTCGTACCACGATACATGTATTTGCTTTGTAATCTGGTCTCGTAAAATCAACATTTGCAATGACGCTAAAAGAGCTTTGTGTGCGATGAAATTTTCTGAGATTATAGCCGATTAAGACATTATGAGAAAACATAATTGCGTTCAGAAATCTCTTGAATCCTGTCCGTCAAAATTGACGCGTTTATTTCCGCATCATTACATCTGATCTAAAGCAGACAGCCAATAAATCGCTATTATCGACCTATGACGCATATCGAGGATAAAGAAAGCTTTATGAAAACGAGTGTTTAATTACATCAGACATATCTTTAGAAAAACAAATCTCGATTACACTCTCTTAAGATTCATGCTCTGGTGGGTTGGCGAGAATCAGGAGGGCGAGTCATTATGGTCTCCAATGATTCCTTAAATCTATGAATTCGACCGTGAAAATGGGCCCTGGTCCTACAGTTCCGACTCAAAGACCATTTCACAGTTATTCGTCTTTCTTTTTGGCTCACATAGTCATCGACTTCGTCATCTCTACGCCAGCAATTCTTTCAAACGCCATTCTTCTTATTACCATCTTCAGAGATTCTCGTCGGCAGAAGCAACTATGTAAGTCATCATTTACACTTCTTGTAATGAACTTAAGTCTGTGTGATTTCATCTCGGGAGCTGTTCCTGGATGCGGGAGCCTGTACTACGATTATATGATATTCCACACCAGAACTGATGAAAAACTTGTGGGAATCCGAGTCATGATAATAACCACTGGCATTATAACAAATGTTGTTGGATCATGTACTGTAATGGCGATGTCATTTGATCGTTTGTTTGCAATGGAATCACCTCTGCGATACAAAACGCAAGTTGACGTTGCTAAAAAGAAAACGAAAATTTTCATCATAGCGGTTTGGATCTATGCCTTGCTCTTTGTTGGTCTTTCTCGTATCGGAATTTCTCAGGAAATTTCAACTTTGCTATATTGTCATCTTCACCTATCCCTTCCGTTAATCATTCTTGCTGTGGTTTTCTGGGAATCGTATCACGCTCTCCGCTTGCACACAAATCAAGTGAGAACTTTGTCTCCTACAGATGAACCGATGTTCTACGCGCACAGGAAAAGGGAAAGAAAAGTTTTAAAGGCAATTCTCATCGTGCTGGCTTTGTTTTACTTAACATTTACACCGCAGTTTATAGCTCTCAATATAACCTTTTTTCGTCCACGAATGAAAACTGAGGTTGGCTTTCGATCCTTTCTTTACACTGCAAATAAGATTCTTTTGATAAGCAGTAGTATTAATCCTTTCATCTACGCATGGAGAATCCCGAAATACAGAAGAGCCTTTAAGGCAATTTTTAAAAGGGGCAGTATGTCTAATCAACAAATCAGTAATACTGCTCCTCGTACCATTTCATCACGCGATGCACGATCGGCAGATTCTTTGGATACAAGTGTTGTTAGTGAATGATAGAGACGTAATCATGGTTTGAAACTGATTGAACGAACAGTTATAGGAAATTAATATACCTCGCATCTCGGCGAATTCGTTTTAGAGATTTTGGTGCATGAGAATTGTGGTTCACGCTATCTTCACTCAATCCTCGGAATTCATGGCCATCAGATTAAGCAACTATATACACAAATCCTTATTTTTTATTTTATTTTTTGGAATTGAAGCTCCGCGAGATTTTTTCCTAACGATTTCACGATGAAGTATCGAGATGAGATGAAAAAAGGGAAACCGTCTGGTTTCGAAATTTGAAATATGATGACGTTTCGACTTTAATTACACGAATGTCTTTATTAGTCTATGACAATTGCTTCCTTCGCCACAAATATACAAATGTAGAGTACAGTGCAAAAACAACTCCTCAAAAAACCACAACGGGAAAATCTTGTGAAAAGTTTGGTACGAGCACGGTACGGTGTTCATGAGTGTTCAGCCAAAGAATTTCTAAAAATTTTCAATTGAACTTATATCTGCAGTTTCTCTAAAGTGATTGTTTGTCTTCCAAATGAGAACGCATTGAGAAGGAATTGTAACTGACTTCTTTTGACAGCTCACTCGCGTTATTCGTACCACTTTTTTTGGTCCAAGTTGATAACATACCGTTACTAACGTCATCGTATTCAGAATTTCAATCCCAGATGGTTTTGAATTTTACACTTTTAAGTAATGTTTTTTCCTTGATTAAGTGTTTACTATTTTGGTAGATATTGAGAGGCATTGGATAACATGATTATCTGGTTATGAGCTGTCAAATGACGTACGTAAAAACTTAGATCACTCAAGAATATACGTAAGTCAATCTTTGTTAGCAGATTAAATTGTCGAGTTACAGACCACTTTTTCTCTCTTTTAAAATCTACACCAAAAAAATTCCAGAATTTTTTTTACGGGAAGCGGACGGAAAAGTATTGTCAAATGATGTGAAGTTGCTAAAGATTTTGTATGCCACAGAAAGACCAGAAATGCTTTCATAAGCTCAACGCCCATGTACAACACCATGCAAATGAAATGTTTGAAAGACATTCAGGCAGGAAAGAGAGGGATAATATTGAAAATTCAGTAGAATTAAAAGAGAAAATTGTTCAGTGCAGACAAGACTGAGGCAGAGCAGAACAGATCGCCAGAGAACGTCGGCTCCCTTTAATTCTGATCTTGTACGTTACTATTTAAAGAAATTTCTTAAATTTAATCCCAACTTCGATTTCCAATTCGCATCGCTTACAAGAAAGCAATTTTACTTTGTTTACAAGAAATCACAACATCAAGCGTACCGTTATCAATTGTTTATTTCTAACCGGCGGAATACAAACTAACAATTTAAGCAACAATTGAAAAAGGCTGAAAAATGGAGTGAACCGTTCCCTTGAATTGCTCTCCTTAACTTCAATGGATAATCCATTCGGGATGAATCACAAACTCACGCTGATTATGTAGACAGACGTGCTTGGTTAACCTTGGTAGCCTCTCCTGCGTAGGAGCACCCCGAGTGATCTGGGTCATAGGAACCACGCTGCGCATTGGTGCTCTCCAGTCGGGTGCAATATCGAACTCAGTTCTTCTCTGCGCCACGTAAATAAGGTCCCCACGTCCACGCGCCGTTAAGAGATTGGGATTTATTTTGTGCCTGGCGTCATCCAAAGTAATTTTTCTTTTCTGGGTTTGGTTGCTTGTCACACCAAAGTTACGTGTTGAAGCATCAAAAGGCAGGCTCAGTTTTTTAAGCGTTGTGGAAGCTTTCTCAGGAGAAGGTTGACTAGCCATGCTCCGAAATAACTTGAAGATTGCTTTCTTCTCTACAGGGAAAGGAAATGAATAAATTCCAACGTAATGTGTACTAAGTGCACTTCCGAATCATTTAAATGTGACATAGGAATTGCATTTCACTGCAAATATCTCTAGGGTAAAATTAAGACCTACCAGAGTGGGATGGCGAATTACCGATGTAAATTCAGTTAAAACATTAACCTGTCCATATTTTTGCGTTGGGGATTAGACGATAGGATTTTCTTATTCACTAAAAATAGCGCACAGTTGGCACAAAGGTTGCAAAAAAGCCGTTTCGATGCTTCAGGGATCACATATATGTGTCCGAGTCCAATCGTTAAATGTACACGCACTCGTCCCTGATCCGTTCGGCCACGCGCGCGCTTTTATCGAAAATCGTCGGTCAAAAATTCCCTGATAATATTCTGCATGTATAACGGCTAGATTCCCTTAACGTCTTTTGAAATAACCTTCTTAATGGATTACAACCAACACTGAACTGGAATTATCACAAACCTTCATCATCGATTATTGGGCGAAACGAGGGCAAGTAAGAATTGTTTAGGCGGAGCTTGGAGGTAGGATTCCATCGTTGGTTGCCAGCTTTACATTGAGAGGATTTTAACCTCTTATGCTGGCAACATTTCATAATTGTGAACGAATATCGAATCCTCCATCATCATATTTGTTACGTGCGCGCGAAAATAGTGACGTATTTTTAATTATCACCTTAAATGCGTTGTCGAATCGTATTACCAGAACCAATGAAATGAAAAAATGCTCGCGAAATAATTCAGAATGTTCCTTTCCTCCGTATTAAATTTCAACTTAAAATTTGTAAAATGAAAACTTGGGCTCAGGATATTGATTTATACGAGGTCGTCGTAATGATAGCACGAAAGCCTTTCAGATTGTCTCCAATTTAATGTTTCTTTTTTTTGGTTTTTGTTTTTTCTGAGGTGTGTGGTGAATTAATTTTTTTCCATTCCTCTATTATTCCATTCTCCTCTATTATTCCATTCTCTATTTCCCCACTTTAAACCAAAAGGTGTCCAAGGTGATACAGATGATTATGAATCCTGACCAATCACAAATCATTTCCTTTTTGGAGGAGTGCGTTGAGTAAATTTTTACTATTCCTCTCTATTTTTCCATTTTAAGCGAAAAGATGTCCAAGATGATATACAGATGATAACGAATCCTGACCAATTACAAATCATTTCTTCTTATCAGGGTAGGAGACGCAGAAGCAGAACGGTTGATGCGCCGGTCTGGGTTCGAGATCTGGTCGGGTCATACTGTTGTGTGCTCGGGCGAAACATTTTACTTTCGTCCTCTCTCTACCAAGGAGTATAATTGATTATTGAAGAATTGTTAGAGAAGCTGAATGAAATGCTGGGTGACCTTGTTGACTTAGCTCTGACGAAGGGCTAATTACGCTCGAAACGTCAGCTTTGAAGCCCTTTACGGTAGCGAATTTATGTTATCAACTCTATTGATAAAACCAAATTAGCCTGACCTTGTGATGGACTGTCGCCTCAGCAACACTCTTAGTTACTTCATGAAACCGGCTGAATGGGCCACTCAACTCCATAATATAGAACTTACTTTTCTACCTCAATAGACCAGGTTACAACCTTCGTGTACAATTACTGCAGGATACAGGGCTTTTGTAATGAACAAACAAAGAAACAGACAAACTTCAAGTTGCTTACCTTCCTCATCAGCCTCATCAAGCCACGCCCTGACTCGTGGCACCACTTGTGGATGGAAACTGTCCCTCAAAACCTGAAGGAAAATTATTCCATAGTTGTGGTTTATATTAATTATGAGTTTAAGGTTGTCTTTCTGTTCTTTTCGTCATCTTGAGAGACGTTACATTTCTTCAGTTGTGGAGTTGAGCTTTCGAAATCTATCAAAGCCTTGAAAAAGTCGAACAGATATGAACGACGACACCAAAATTAAGGTTATCAGGTGGCTTCAAACACTCTCTCACGTTTGCTTTATTTTGGGCAGTCATCAGAGCTGGAAAAAAGAACATGATTCTTAACTTATTCCTTTTCTCGAATCAAATCCATTGGATCGTTTTACCTTTTCTGTTGCTTGTCTTTCCTCCTCCTTGATCCAAAACGATTTGAGCACCGCAAGTTTTTCTGTCAATCAGATCCAAGGACTATCTTTAGAGTCAAGTTCCTCTGGCAGGTGAATTCAAATAGGGTTTTCATATATATATTGATGTGACACCAAAAGCTCTCAACTTATTTGCAAGGAACTATATCGAAATTTGAAGGAGAATTCTTGATAATATCTTGGTAGTTAAAGATTAAGTATACCGTGTCAATTAAGTGACTTACCGTCGTACTGCCCAGATCTCAACCAATTGAAAGCTCTGCGGGCCTTGTTTGGGGTGAAGAGACGAGGAAGCATCTGAGGTAAACGTATAAAAAGAGAGTAAGGTCATTCCTTTTTCCAGTTTCATATAGCAAGTTTTCACTAATTGCTCAATTCGCTCAGGCAAGAGGCTCAAAGTAAAAAACACTTTCGCCTTCGCCTTATTCTTTTTTAGCTATTTTCGGCGCAGCTTTCGGTTTTTTGACCCAAAGCTTGGTAACACAAGCCAAATTGAAATTCGCTAAAAACACACACGATACAACACTCAGGCCCGACTAATTCAGCGCAAGCCATCGATGCCGGGTTATCCTAAAACCAGCCACAGTATTTATAATCCATTTTCCTTACCTCTTCCTCCATGGTTTTCTGTCTGTAGTTATAGGAAGGCTTGCTGCAGTAATTCATCTTGAACAGCAGTCCAGCTTATGCACTTTCTTCCTTGAAAACTGATAAAAGCACAAGAACGATCTTGTTAAATGAAAGCTGTTGCTGAATGATTCCACCCTTCCTGAATTTACTACAAAAAATTTTTCCATAGAACCCCTCTACCACAAGGAAATAATTCTGTTTACAAGTTAAATTAGGAATATATTGGAGTCCATTCGTATGCCCACTCACAATCTCTGTTTACCGTCACCCTAACTTTCCTTGTGAAATCATAATTTTTTAAATTTGAACAAGAGAGATCTCTAAGAAATTGTACTTCTCTTTTCAATTTGACAAACGAGTTAAGCCAAATTTCACTTGATCGCTTCGTCCTAGTTGCCTAGATACCGCCTTCCATGCATCCTGAAGCTTTTCACTAAAAATTTCTGATGCAACAGATTTGCTTAGGGTTCATTTTTCAACCCAATTCTTTCACAAAAATCACTTTCATTTCTAAACTAAAGGATTTCCGAAGATTTAGATATGTGAAGCAAAGACTTTCAGAAAAAATTCGTTAAATCATCGAAAACTTCTTTGTTTCCATTTTAATTCTCCACATGAAGAGACTTGAATACAAAGGATGTAAAGTTAAGAAAACTGAGCCGAAATTCTTAAGATGTTTGTTCTTTTAAGTTTCAGGCTTCTGTGGGAAATTTGACAAAATAACTATTTGAGTAACCTCTGGAAAAAAAACTTTGTAACAACAATATATAATTCCTACCTCGTGATAAATAAGTGCTCTCGAATTGCGATTCTTACATTTGATGCTACTCTTATCACGATAACAAAGTCTGTGAACATGAAAATCTTTTTTAAACAGCATGCACTGAGTATGTGGACAAGATAAAAAGTAATTAACCTAACTAAACTTACGTTAATTTTGGAGTTCAGATGATGGGGCGGTAAACTTTAGTGATCTTACGAATTCAATTCCTTTTGTAACCTTTATGTTTTGGAACTTCGCCGAATTTTAAATCTATTTTATTTATAAAGTTATGCAGGATACTAAAAGTTTCCCGTGTTGCGAATCAATAGGATAATTTTGTTTAAATTTCTCGTCCACACAAATCGCGTTGTAGGTTTGTTTAGTAACCACTAGATAACGGTCTAATTGTTATCACTAACAATTCTGTTTTAGGAGATATTTTTAGGTTTACAGAGTGATTACTCACGATTAATTATTAACAATAGAAGAACAGCTAAAAGCTCTTGAGGTTTCGACGTGCTAATGACTGTTAATAATACGAATGCTTTGGCTGAAAATAGGCAAGATGGATTTTAAGTGCTCAAATTGAAATTGCCGCTTGATGGTATTATGTTTTCTTCTAGTTTTCCTCTTCTTCTTCTTCTTCTTCTTCTTCTTCTTCGTCTTCAATTCATTTATTTATTTCACTTAAATTTTATGCTCTCCTGTTACCTTTGTTTACATCCTAATTACGGCGGAAGTCGGAGGCTTTAAGGGCTTTGGGATATATTGATGAAATTGAAGAAAATTGGACAAATAAGAAACATTTCAACTTCATTTTGAGTTATGAGCTTTCCAAACTTGATATGGTCTCTTGCGCCACCACTGGAGTTTTGTCCTCATCGTGATTTTATGAGAAATTGTTCTGTTTTTGTTACCGTGCATCAGTTCATTCATCTTTTAAGAATTTTTGAGGGGCAACAACCTTGTTAATTTGAGCAATTTCCCCCGCTCTGAGTGAATTTTGAATCCACTCAATTCTGTGGTGACAAATATATCCCATTCAAGTGAACGTCGTCAATTTGCAGGCATTGGAAAATTAGTAGGCTGTTAGAATACGGCTCACTTTCGTTTAATCAATTATTTATCTTTCTCTCAGCTAGCAAACCGCAAAGTACCATTGTGAAAATTAACAGCTTTCCAAGACGAAACGACAATTGAAGTCAGTAGGCAAATGAATAATTATTCTTGCAGTGACTTAATTTTTTGCATAAATTAAAGTAACCAAGCAATGTTCATTGTTGTCAGTTTTCGCGGTGGCGCGGTCTAGAAGACTTGATCAATTTTCATTGGGGAACCGTTTTTCCTTGACCGCGTGAACGAATTCAGAAATATCTGAAGAGCTAAAGAACTTCAGATCGATCTTAGTTTACCTTGGTGTTTTAGTGTGAAAATTATCACATCCATTTGCACTATCTCGATTCTCTAATCAACGAAGTAATCCAGGAAGCATCCGCCATTTGACATTTTTGTAGTGCAATTATGACTCACGTCTTAACAAATCTTGGATACCCACATGATCTTCGCTTCCGTTCTAAGTCCGCTGAGATATTCAGAGAACACGAAAGACGAAAGGAGGGTATTCCGAAGACGGAATTCGACAAAATTCGAAGCCTTTCTAGACAGTCATGGCAGCGATCATGGGAGAACCCTGGAGATCCATTGCCTTCTGTGAAATGTAACCACTTTGTGACAACATATTCGACAACACACAACTACAAAGCGCTTCAAGAACCCACTCCCTGCCGACCGACTTCGCCAACGAGACGAAATAACCCTCATCCAACAAGGTCTGTGTCTTTTGTTTGTGTGAAGTGCAAACATCAATAAGTGATCCTATGGTTTGGAGGATAACTTCAAGGTCCTTTGTCTGTGATGATATCTTATAGGGATTAAGTGGTAATGTGTTTTAAGCCAGTTCATCAATGAAACGGGAACGATTTCGGTTTCAAGGCTTCTAAAAACAGAAGAGTCAAGAGTCATAGCAAAATTATGCGGATCTCGCATGAGAAATTTATGAACCACCTAACAATTCCGAGACGGGATACCGTATTACAAGATGGATCTAGCGGGGGTCGGGGGGGGGGGGGGGTCGGGGATATACTCTTCCTACTTATCCCACCTGAGAGAAAATCAAAGGACCAACCAATCTATCAACGTGACGTCGATAAATGTGTGAGAATCTTATAGAGCAGATGTCAGTTATATTTTCTTACATTTTCTTGTATGTAAGAACATCTTAATGTTCACATAAGTTATTTTTTTCTGTAAGTAAATGGCAGGGCAAATTTATTTCTTGTAGGCCATTTTTGCGGCTCCACCTGAGGCAGGCAAAAGGGTTTCCCAAACCTAAAGAAAAGCCACAACAGGACCCATATGATGGTAGGATGAACATTCATCTTTCTGTTATGTTAAAATGTAAACATTGATAGAATCATTCAATAAAATTTTATTTCACTCTGGTTATTGGCCTGTTGGCTTTCAGTAATCTTTCAGTTGCAGACTGCTGGCAGTCTTTTCTGTCTCAAGAAGGAGTGCTAATTATCCTCTTGAGACAGAGAGAAAACTTTTGGCAAGAAGGGATTAGGAGGGGGTGGAATGAGACATGGACCAGACGAGGAACTTCAGGAACAACTCAACCAAGCCAACCCTCACCACACCCTAACCTGTGGAATAGCCACAGTTCCTTCATGCTAAGACAGTAAATGGTCAACTGGTAATCCATTTCAGTTGAGGCAGGTTTTAATAAATTTTATTATTTCTTAGTTGGTTATAAACCTGAGGAACCAAATGACAGGCAGCAGACAATGTATTACACTTTATGGGAAATGAAAGATATGGAAAAAAGGGGCCTGGATAAGGTATGCTTCAAGTTAGATCATTCTTGCACCTTAGTTAGCAGAGGTGACTCAGGTGAGGAAACTCAACAGAGTTCTCTTTTGTATGTTTTTTTTTTCACTTTTTTTGGCCCCAATTTTCACATAACATTTATTAGTGTTTGCATCAATTTTAAACTGGGGACAACTTTTAGAAACTTCCTTAACTTAACTGGTGAGAAGAGATAAACACAAAAACTAAAGGCTACAGGTACACTGCAAAGAATCTCCCTTTATAAACTGCAGCACCACTGTTTTTATCTTTAATTTGGACAGCTTTCTTTCTTTCTCTCTAACCTTTACTAAGTATGCTTAAATAATTAAAGGGAGATCTTTAAATGAAACAAAATAATTTCTGTTTTGTGGCACATAAACAGCAGCCATAATATTTTCATCCAGTCCTATTTTTGTACCAATATGTAGCCATTGCAAGCAGGCTCTCAGTAGTAGTGCCATAAAAAGGAAAGTTTCTCTACCCACATAAAGATTTGAGACAAATCCAAGAAAGGTTTTCCAGGGGATTGAGCAGTGCTAGACTCTTACAGACCTCTGTTGCAGAAGGGTGACAAAGGAGGCCTGTTTGCAGGCTTAACAATGTTTCTCCTTTTCAGGCTTTAAAAGCTACTATGACTCCAAAAGCAGTACCAGCAGCACAAGCCTGGGTCAGGAATGCTGGCATGAAAGGTGATGGAGTAAACAACTTGTTATTTAAAATTAGTATGAAGACTTGAATGAAGCTGCTTAGCAGTATTAGTTATACACTTTTTTTTTTTTTTTTTTTTTTTTTTTCAACAGACAGGAAGATAGTGTCAAACATGTTGGATGTTGTACACGATGCACCAAATGTTGAGCAGGTAAATGACTGAATTGGATAATGTAAAATATGTGTTATTGAAAAAATAATCTTTTTTACATACTGGTATATTACACTTGTATATTTAGTTTTTAGCCACGCATGGTTTAAAATTTTAAGTACAAAAAACATAGTTATTAGTAGGATGTTGCAGTCACTGTAGCTAACCTCCTCAAGCTTAGATAAATGACTGACTGTGTAAATTACCTTATATTTTCTTTTCTTATGAAATAGACTGTTAGTTCCACATTCAGGCCTGATGTTGTACCAGCTGTGAATCGATGGCTAAAGAAAGCTGGAAATGAAGGTACATGTTCTTCATACTGGCTCTTAGCTCAATTCTGATCAAGGTTGCCAATTTCCTGGTTCTTTCATAGGTTCCTTGTGATATTTTCTTCATTCAATTTGAGTTTTTGATTACTCTGGTTTCAGTTTTACAACACTCATTTGAAAAGTACTGTAACAAGCACAAACCATTCTTATATTTAATTAATTTAATTTATTAGCTTTGCCAACAATACATACAATGTGGAACATGGGTAAATTACAATAACTATAATGGGCAGGCAACCACAACAGTAATATCTGATCACTGTGGTCCCAGCTAGACTTACATGATATGATTCTTCTATTGTTCAGAACAACAAGCTGTTATGAGATTGATCCGAACTTTGGCCTCTAATCCAATTAATGATGGAACAATAGATCCAGAGTACACAGGGCAACAACATCCTGACAGATACATCTTGGGGAAGTACACGATACGCCAGACAGGAACTAAAGGAACTCCCATCACTGTTAAAAATCATTTTCCAAAAAAGTCCCATTTTAAGGCACATCCTGCATGGCTTCAAGCTTCATAACCATTTAGGTTTTAGCCTATTCTGGTATTATATGTGAAGTCATGAAGTCTAATGCTGAAGAAGAGGGTTAACCCTTTAACTCCCAAGATCTAATTATTAATTCTTCCCTCTAGCTACTACACATTTCCTTGTAAATAAGTTACAAGAATTTGATGTTACCTCAAGGTAATAACTTCCATCAGATAGGTTTGAGTATACTCATTATCTGATTGCTGAATAGTGAACAGAGCTCATAGGGAGAAGTTACAAGATAATCACTTTTGGGGGTTAAAGGGTTAACCTCTGGGACACAAACCATTCAGTTTATATTATTTAGTGTATAATTATAATTTCATCCATGTATATAGCTGTCTTTTGACATGAAAAAAAAGTATTTCTTATGCTGGAATAACAATATTTAAATGCAAAATACACTATGGCCTGTAATTTTTTTCTCCTTTATTTCAGCAAAATAATCAGTTATGCTAGTATGTGCATGTAGAATTTTCATCTATTAAAAGTTAAATTGTTATCAGTCATTATTCCTGTGAATTACATTCAACAAAGATAGGGTCACAAAACCCCTGAAAGTACAGAGTACAGAATACTTCAAGTTCAAAATTTATTTCATATAGTGTGCCATTCTACTGTATCCAACAGAGCAACTATCATGTATGATGACTTGTTATGTAAAACACAGTAGCATCATTTTTTTTGACTGTGGTAACACAGTTTGACTTAACTCACGTGTATATCCTTCACAGTGCATGCCTGATAAGCCGTCAATATTTTTTGTTAGTATCAAAATAAGTATCATAATTGTTAGTTGACAGAATTGTTTTTATGGACTGGGCTTAAGATTTTGTGTCATGTCAATTGCAAAGAATATTTCCTCACCATTGCCATCACAGAGAACCTTTTTTACATTAACTATAATTGAGGCAAACACACAAACTGATCATACTGGAAGCAATTTTTTAATGAGTATTTCACTAGTGTGCATGTTGTAAAAGTCTCATCCAACTAAACTTGATAATAGAATACTCATCAGTAACATGATTACAATAAATATTGTTTGTGAAATTATTACATTCTATAATTAATATTTTTATGACACACATCCTTGTTTGGAACTGGGATATTCTTTGTTTTTGTCCAATGAACGAGACAAACTTCATTTAAAATATGTTTTAAGACTTACAAGTGATGAAATTGAAATAAAATTATTTGCACAAATTCAACAATAATTACCAGCATCTGTCTCACCCAATACTCAAATGAAAAAAATGGTAAAAAAAATTCATAAAAGGAAGATTCAGTTGTTAGCTTGGCATATATCTGTGAAAAAGGCTGAATGTTTGACTCGGATTCACCCAAGACCTCATACTATTTGCCACAATGTCAACACTTTCAAATCCATTCTTCAGTCCATGTTTTGCTAACCTTGCTGCTAATTTTGTCAATGGAGTGGTGTCTGTGTGGGTAAGGAGAGTTGATAGTTCCATCCACTGACACTGTGCAATCTCATCCTCACAATGACTAATGCCAAAGCTTAATGGTTCCATTCTACACACAACATAAACATCAGACTTGTCAAAAGCATTCTTCATTTTGTGCTGTTGTCTGAAGAGCAGAATGGATTTGAATTCTGCAATCAAAAGTAAAATGAGAAGCAAAGAGTGAGTGGGTACCAAAAAACTTGGAGAAAACCTTAAATTACTTGATGGTAACCAGTGACTGACCAAGATCCTATTAGTGCTTCTCCTTATTGTCTACTATACAATTTTTATGATCGAGGACAGGGAGTTTGTTATTATATCAAGAAACAATCCTGTACTGATCTTTTTTTTTTATTCTGATCACTTGCCTGTTCATTGTCAAGAGGAATAATTCTGTCTTGGTCATGGGAGTTAAAGAGTTAAACACCCTGAAGTATGTTCTTTATGAAATGGGTAACTAGCTTCAAAAATCTTTACCCTTGGCTAGCTTCTTACTAACACAAGGTGTGCCCTGTGTATTACCTGCTCTTATTCCTGTCTCTTCCCAGACTTCACGCACTGCTGTTTCCTCTTATCAAACAGAAAAAGAATCAGACAGAAATCACATACATGTACCTATATGATTCTTGAGCCCAATGTACATAAAATTGAGATTAGTGAAGAGGAGCAATTTGAATCTGACCTAGGCTGTTAGCTTTCCACTCAGGAAATAAAAAAAACTATGGGGCAAAACCCCAAAATTTAAAATTATTACAATAAATTGGCCAGCAGGGATTAACCCAGTTCCCTTGGTATCATACCCATACTATTGATGATCTTCTTCAAATGTAATAATTTTTTGGTAAGATTTAATCCCAGCCCTGATTCAACACCTCAGAAATACTACTTTTAGGTCTTCATGGTTATACTCTGTAAAATAAATTCCAAAAATAAAGGAACAGATACTTAATAAATCAAACCCACCAATACTTTCTCCTTCATCTGAGAGTCCTCCAGGAAATTTCCAAACTGGTCTTTTTAAGTGCCGGCCAATCTTGAGCTGCCAAAAATATTGTGCCAACATTGTCAACATTTATACTACCAAAACTACCAAAATTATTCTTAATCACATTGATAGATATCCCATGAAAACTTTGATTTGCAATGTTAAAATGGTTTTCCATATCATTTTAAAAGAACTCACAATTTTGATGATAGAATGATGAAAAACTGCCTTTGACTAAAAATCATAATAACAGTAATACTAATAGCAATCCAAGGAGGTGTGTACTTGTCAAAGCAGATTTCTACAGGACCTGATTGTGTGTGTTACATACCATGTTCTTGTCCTGGACTACTAAAACTTCATTTTTTTCCCTGTTAAGAACAAGACCTGCAATTTTTTACATTAGAAATATTGGATATGCATTAGACCATCAATTAAAAAATTATAGATAAGCCTTTTTCTTGGGAGGGAACACTATTGAAACTGATAACTATCGTCAAAGAGATATGTTATAATTAAAAATTTCAATTAAACTATCTTCACTAGGGTTAATTTATATTTCATTTCTATTGTTCGGGACAATAACCCATAATTTTAGAACATGCAAAACACAAGTCAAAGTAGTCTTAAATCATTTTAAACTGAAATCCATTTATAACTATGGAAAATTCCTATTAAAGGATCAAACTACCTCAAGAAAATTTGGTACAAATTTTACAAGTTCACTATTTATAATTCATCTTTGCACTCTGTCTTTGTTACCTGATACTCCAACTTGATGGGTGGCATAAGGTGGAACTTTATTATGCTCCTTTTTTGGAAGCCATTTTAACAGCATAGCATGGTCTCCAACAGCATGGTGATAACTGAAGCCATGTTCAAATGCCACTGGTATCAAGTAACTCTGAACGATTGGCACTTTCATCCACACAGACTTCTTTCTCTCTTTTCTCCACTGTTGGATACTTCCTGAGAAAATGGTAGAAAAATCAGGCTTTGCATGAATTGGAGGGCCAAGGATGAAGCCACTCCTCTCAAACAAGGGAGAGACAAGGTGGTCTGACCTTTTACACTGTAACATCAGTATGTATATTCTCCACACTCTTCTCTAAACATTTCCTAAGATGCCAATATGGAGAATTTGTATAACAATCAAGAGCTTCTTTAGGGATCACCTTTTTTATTCTCCTGACCTTAATTTTCAGGGTGATATGGTAAGGAGAAATTAGATGCCAGTCACTATTAGGGGTTAAAGGGTTAATGATTAGTGCCCTGGACTCCAGGTCCAGAGGTCTGTGTTTATGATAAAGGCTGCTTATTGTGCTGTGTTCTCACCCAAGACAATCTACTCTAACAGTGCCCCTATCTGCTCAGGAGTATAAAAGGGTACTAACAAACAGGAAAGCCTTATGATCTCCTAAAGAGTAAACTCCTATAGACTAGCTAGGCTAGTCAAATGGGGGGGAGGGGGGGGGAGCTGCAATAATCCTAGTTGGTTTTTGCTGAAAAGACAAGGATAAGCCTCTCATATCAGAGGGGATAAGGATGATGCAGTGGTGTCAAAGACTCCCATCAATATGACCGCTATTTTCAGACCCTTTTCTTTTATTTTCCATTATGTTCAAGGTTCTCTGTGCTTCTTAACAGTGCTGCTACGGTTTCATCAAGGTTGCCTAGTATAAATCCTTGAATGAAAAGCAACATGGGTGCGACCTTTTCCTTCAAAAATGTAAAGCTCTGACTCGGCAAGGCCAACCGGCATAATTTTACTCATACTGTTCAAAAAAATTATGCCGATTTCCAAAACATGAGGGAACACGGGGCACAATTCCTTTAGATTTGAACACACCCAAAGTTATTGAACCAAGAAAAGAGCCAAAAGTAACCACTCACTCGTTAATTTCACAGAAAATTCCCCAGGGCTACATTGCTCTCCCAGCTGGTCCAAATTCACGGTCACTCCATTAAAATAAGCTTCGTTCCAATGCAGTTGAGATTCCTCTGCAGAGTTGCATTTATTCCGACATAAATAAAGTCCTCCTATTCCCTTTCTGACCGACCTCCTTAGCAAATGTGACATGACGGCAATGTTCCCTTACAATGATGATATTTCACAACACATTTCACAAATTGTCCGCCATTTTGAAAACTGCTGACCAGTCTGCACCCTTACAGTTTTTTTGTTCATATAAGGATACGCTTTATGTCCTAGTCTCCTGGTCACGTTTGTTAGAACCATTCCCCTCTCAATTTTCGTCTGCACAAGGTGAAAGAAAATTGTCTAAAACATGTCTGGAAGTGCGGGTTTAAAATCTATTCAAAAAGTTAGTAAGGTTATGTTGCTATTTACAAACAAACAGACGGAGTCAAGGTTTTCTGTAAGATAATTTTAATTCAAAATTGAGTTACTCTCAACAACAACAAATGAATATGTACCTGATTGTCTTCGTCTCTCCTTGATACACTGCCAGTCCTCGGCAGTGCCTCTGTTATAGATTTAAAACAGAGTGAAACTTCCGACAACAAATTGTTAAATTCTTTGCAAATATAATAAATTAGGCATTGGGAATTACACGTCGACAAACAAGATGCTTGAAATGCCTTTATAAAAATAACTATAGAAAAACGAACACAAAAAAAAACACTGAATTTGATTCATAATCGAGTGTTCATATGTTTGCACAAATGGCTCTTTTAATTAATACTTTCGCGATTCATAACGTTGTCATTCTGTCAAATATTTAACTTTTTACAATTCATGAATTAACGTTTAATTTCAATTTCCTTTTGCAAGAGGGATTGCGTACTAGTGGTTGATGCGAGCTTTTTTTGTTTGGCAAGTTAAATCATCTCTTGTCTATCATAGTTTTAACAGCAAGCTAAAAAAAATTAATGTAAGAAACAAGAGCTACGCAGAGGATCTGAGTAGCTCTTGTTTGTGACTAGAAAAGTCGTTTAGCAATTTCATTGCCTATCGACATACAGTAATGAAGCTTTGTTGGTTGCCGCCCTATTTCAAACAATATGATTCTACTCCACAGAATAACCCGTTAGTGTTTACCCTCAATCAGGGCAGTAACAAATAGTGCGCTGAAGTCTCAAGCTCTTAGCTACACTTATAACTGCAATATGTGATGCGTAAGAATGCGTCACATTCCGGGCCATTGGACATGTATATTAACTCTGAAGCATAAAACCCGTAACAAGAAAAATCTTCCATGAACGATTGGTAATCCCGTTAAAATAAACAAGGTAATTAACATTTCAACATAAAAATGACCAACTATGTTGATGTAGAAAGCATCACATGGTCTGATATGGGGCAACAAACTGATGGTCAAAGGTAGAATTTTAGCTGTCAAGGAAACTATCTACACATCTTTTGTCGAGTTCTTTCTTTGTATTAAGCCTTCCAAGTTCAGTGTGACTGGGCAATGTTTGAGAAAAACGACAGGATTTCATCGATGGTAACTTCCAGATTGATCATAGATTCAGGGTAACAGCGCTGGATGAGATCCTCAAAATGCTTGTATTGTTGGATGAATTCATCTTGCATGGTGTGCCACACAACCTGAAATGACATGATTGGAATATTAATTGTCTGTAAAGCTTGCAAGACATCATTCTTGAAGGTTTGTAGAAAGAATTTGTTTATGCATCAGCTTCGATATGTTCTTAATATTCTTTTTCCTGTACATGTCAGTGTAAGAGTAATTTT